TCAAATACGACGCTGCAAAGCAATCGAACTCGCTCACAGACGACATGAGAAAAATAACATCACTCAATGACGTTTTCAAAAAGTCCTTAAAGAAATGTTAATTCTCATTAGGATCACTTTTAATAATTTCTTAATAACTTTCAATTTTCAATAATTTTATTTATTTTCTCGGAAAAATTAGCTCAATAAAATTACTCCATAAATTCATGGTAAAATAAAGTTTATGTTATGGTGTGTTTGTCCGCCGGGAGAAAACAGTGGCCGTTGTAGAGAGGAAATGTTTTCCCCTGTTACGCAAACTAAACTAAACGCTTACGCCGACGATCATCAGATCTACCACCATGATGTGCACCCACTTGTTATAGATAGGTACATTTGTAATGACGTCGACAAGGCAAATCAATGGTACAGCTAAAACGGCATGATCGTGAACGCAAAGAAACACAAAGCTTTAATTATTGGTCAAACTGACCTCAAATTCTCTTTTCCAGTGAAATGCGAGTTAGATATTTTCGGAATGACTATAGACAATACACTTAATTTTGGCAGCCACATATCTACTGTTTGTTACGGTTCCGCAATATCATCTCTAAGGACACAATGCTTAAGTTGTACAAGGCATTCATTCTACCACACTTCTATTATTGTTCTTCAGTGTAGCATTTTTGAGGAACACGCAACAGTGAAAAGCTGGAGGCTTTTAATAAGCGTATTCTTAGATTTATGTTAAATGATTATACTTCACACTACACCACTTTGCTTAACAAGGTTGAAATGACTTCTTTGTATGACAAGCGCATTCAGAATTTCTTAATACGAGTTTACAAGAGTCTATTTTTTAATGAGTATCCAACTTATATGAGGAATATGTTTTTTACTGTTCACCATACAACCTATAATTTGCGCGGTACCCATATGTTGACTCTAAGTAAGCCTAGAACAACAACCTATGGACTACACTCTTTTCCTTATTTTTCCGCCCAGCAATGGAACGATCTTCCCGACGAATTAAGGAGCAGTACTTTTAATGATTTTAAGCGACGTGAGCAAAGTCTCAATACGTTTGATTAGTTTTCACTCATTTTTGTCTTATTTTGTGTGTATTTTTTTTTCAGTTTTAGATATCTTAATTTGTTTCTTGAAGACATTAGCTACATAGTGTAGCTACTCTAACATTCGAGTTAAAATAAAGGTTATGTATGTATGTATATAGGTGACCGTTAGTCGGAGGTTCTACTTCACTGAACGGCTCACACAATTGGCTGTAAAAACAATAGAAACGGTGACATAAAAATGCCCCTATCCCTGAAAGCAAAAGGCAATATTGTTTTAGTCAGACCACTGAAATTAGAGGTGAGGTAGTGGACTACTGAAATTTGAAGCTCTTGCAGACAAGACCAAACACAAAAAAGATTTATATTTGAATATGTCTAGCCCATTTTCTTGATCTGCTCAAACTAACAACTCTCTAATGCAACGCCTTTGCCGATGCTCCACAAATCATTGTCTACTGACCAATTTATATCTATTTTCAGCTTCAGTTAATGATGAATCGTCTGGTGATATTATTGGTAGTTGCTGTGGCCGTAGTTATGTGTTCTGTAGCAAGAGAAGGTAGAATCAAATATCTTTTTCATTCCATACATTCGGGTTCGTTTCTCTAACTTATTAACAATCCACGATAATCAATCAAGAAAAAAAAAACAAAGGAAACCACCACTTTAAAGGAGGTCTGAAGATTGGACTCTAATTAGTGTAGCATAAAATTTCTTCAAGAATTATTGTTCATTTGAACGCTATATCAAACACTCGACACAGTGTTTCATCCGATACTAGGTACCTCGAAATCGGGGAAAGGGGAGAAGGCTTTCATAATTAAGCTATTTAGGTACGGTAGCGTGTCCTGTGATAGGATAACTAATTCCTACAAAGTACAGGACCTAAACGTAAAAGTATCTTTTTACCCTTCAAGTTCCAAAAGTGACCAACATGAATTTTCTTCTCGCAATATCAATACATTATCAAAAGAAAAGGTTACGACAATTAATAAAATGATCACCTTAGGGAAAATACTTTGATCTTTTATCAAATTCTCCCAACTAATTCTTTAAGGAAATGCATGGAGATCAGTTTGGAGAATTTGTATGTGGATATCGGGGCTCAAAGAGTTAAAGGGGCTGTGTTAGGGCTGTCCAATTATGCCAATAGGGAGTTTAAGCAGCGACGTGTTGGAGCGACGCATGTTAACTGGAAGTGGACTTTTTGCACTCTTGAGCCGTGGTTTTGAACAAAATTTTGGACAAATCGTCTCCATGAGAATGAAGACACTTGGCAATACAAATATGGTGGCGTCAAGGCTTATTAAAAGAAAAAAAGCTCACTTCCGGTTGACGTGTGTCGTTCAAAAACGGCGCTGCTTAAGCTCCATAATAACGCGTCCTTCACCTTATTCGCTAAAACAAAACCACAGCTTCGTGTCAAACAAATATGTCTCCCAAGCATTAAATGCAAACAATATATTAAACGTTACAAACAACAAAAATAAACTTTGAAACACTGTTAGGCTAACAAGTTTTTAAAAACCAAATTGCAATCTTCTTCAGTTTGTCCATCCGTGCTTCCTTTTGTATTTGCTGTGTTATTTTCTTTTCCTTCTCTTAACTTTTTGAGCGGCTATTTTTTGATTCACTCAATTTGTTGGCAGTTCTTGATGAATTCGTAACACAGCTTCTTTAAGTGGGGAGTGAATTTTCGTTTCTGGTCCTTAAAGAGGAGGACAATTTGCAATTTATCTCGCTTTAATTCATCATTTTCATATAGACCACAATATAACTTGTTCATACCACCCCCCTCCCCCCCACCTCGCCAAAAATAAAATTCGGTTAACCATTTTTTTTTTTGATTTCTCCTGGTATTAAGTCGTCCCAAGAGAAATCAAAGACAGTGGTTATGCAAAATTTTTTTTTTTTTTTTTTTGGGGGGTGGGGGGGATAAACAAGGTGCATTATGGTCAATGTGAACACAGTGAACAGGGTTAAATAAGGTCAACGTTTATTAAAGTACCCTCCCGACACATACCTATCCTAAATTGTCTAGCCTTCGTGAAGACGTCTTCTATTCCCTTTGTTGCACGCGGAAAAGGCTCTCACCTACGCAAAGGTTCAATGACGCGTTATTGGAGTTCCGCTGCTCAAAGTGAGTACAGGAGCGAAAACCGAAACATTCTTCCGACGCTTACCAAACTGAATTTTCGCCCCTTTGAGCCTCTGCGGAATAGAGACCGCTGAAGTCACTTTTCTGCGTGCAAAAAACGAATAGGAGACGTCTGTACGCAGGCTAAAATTGTCCGGAGTATGCCCGCCCCAGGCTTTCATGACAGGTAACCCACTTTTTTATTTCTTTTACTAGGACAAGGAAATGTCAAGGTATTACAAGTAGACTGTGCTGATATATGCAAAAAAATCTGCCCCACTGCCTGCTTCTACACGCGTACATCAGGCGGTTGTAACTTTACTGTATGTCGCTAGTTTGGTCTCTTTGTTACTCCCGGGTGTGCAAAAAGCCAAGAAATGATAGAAGAATAAATAACGCTGCTATAAAATTGAAGATGTACAGTAGATTGATGGAAATCATATCATCGTTTTGTACCTTGTTTAGAGAACTACAATTTTTTCATTAAACATGTAACATTGGCTGGACTGCATTGAAAATCTGTAGTTTGCTTTCTTGTTTTATTAATATTTAAACAAGGAGAAACGAGCGCGAATGTATTGCCTAAACAAACATGGAAAAACACGTGCCAAGGGTAATGACGTAATTACTAATGTCATCTCCGCCAATCAGCATTTCGCATGGACTTTTTCGATGCAGATATTCAAATTCCAGAGACGTAGTTGCAAGCTCTCCTTCCTTTTCCCGCCCTGCCGTCAGAGCGCCCCGGAGAGCTTGCTCGCAGGCTAGACCGGACGCAACGTTCTATCCATTGGGCTAATTAAGCCAACTGGAGAGCAGGCCATTATGAGTTCGCAATATGCCCGATGGTGGAAATAACATGAATGTAAATATATGAAATGACATATTTTAAACTGCGGATAAAGATATGAAAAAGGAAATGATCCTCGTTATTCATATGAGAGGATCATTTCCACTTTCGTTTCAATACATGTGTTCATAACTCAATCTGGGAGTGATAGGTTCACACGTACGTGTATAAGGAATCGAGTTTGCTGTATGTATCCACTAAATATCCAAGAAATATTTCAGTCCCCGTAGAGTCCAATTCAAGCGATAGCAGTTGTCTGGGTGCCCTGGCTTCTTGTAATTCAAACTGAAAATTGGTCAGCCACTTCTTCATTTTAAGACCCATTGCTGATGCTATCTGCCATACGCTTTTGAAACTTTCTTCACTCCGACACTAGCATAGGGTCTGAATGGTATGTCGCAATTTCTACGAGCAGAGATGATTTTAGAAAGTTATGGGGAAGTTGATTCTAATCAATTCACGACTGGAAATACCCCACACCAGCTAGTGCGGTGCAGTACAGTGCCCACGAACAATAAAAAACTACAAATATGATAAATCAACATATGATACCCTTCACTAATAACCAGAAACTCATCACGTGCTAGGCAACCACTGTCTCGTATGAATAGGCCATTTCCGAGTTCCCCAGGGCCTTTGTATCAAAGCGAGGTTAGGTGCTCAACCTTTCTTGTGAAAATGAGTTTTATTTACATGACAATGAAAAATCATTTCCATATCAAAGGTTGAGCACCTAACCTCGCTTTGATACAAAGGCCCTGGGGAACTCGGAAATGGCCTATTTAACTGGATTTTATAGCACGCCGACTTCAGGTTAAAATAGAAAATATCTCTCTTCGAAATGATAAAAGAAACATGGAAACTTCTTTAAAAACTGGCTTTGCCCAAATTTCTCTTGCCTCCCAAAAAATCTGAGTTGCTTAAGATGTAAAAGGGGGGGAAGGGGGGGAAGGGGGGGCTTCAGCCCATGGCAGCTGGCGGAGAGGCGCGAGTTCGAACCCTGCCAATTGAGTGTGGGTTTTTATTTTTTCCTTTCTTTCTTTTCTTTTTCTTTCCTACTTTTACCATTTTTCACGATCAATTGCACACACCACAAAAACAAGAGAGGTGCGAAGAGACTCGGAAAGGAGACACAGAGCAGTTCGCTTCACTCGATTTCTGGACTAAAGGTTAATGTTTGACCCGGGGCGTTCATTTGGTCTCAAATATGATCTGATTCGTTGACTGCATTAAGGCGAAAGAAATGCAGTAAACATGAGTAATGCTTACCGCCACTAGAAGAGATTTCCTCCATATAAATCCTCGTGAACTCCAACGTGCTGCTCTGCCTTGTTGGTTTGGGCCAGCATTAATAAACAGGACGGCTAAGCGGTTGCTCCTTCAAATTAGCGCCCAAAAAAGGCGCGGCAGCGTTTCTCTGTTTAATTTATTTCTTTGCGCCATTTTCCATATATTACATTCTGCGTAATTATGTCATTCCGCAACCCATGCCTCATGCCATTTCGCACGCTCATTCCGCCTTTTACCCTCACCGACACGAAACTAGTGAATCCGAACACCGAAACCGCATTGTTTTGAAGCTGCTCTCCAAAGCGGTTTAAAGCCGCATTCACACGAATCTAGGAAAAAAATATGCGGTTTCAAAAACGTCCGGATTTGTGAACATGGGCCTTGATCGTATCTGCGCAAATTCGCACTTCTATCACGCTTTTTAATATTTTCTTTTTAGCTACAACCATTCATGTACCATTTAACAGTGACTGTGGAAACTGTTGCGTGTTCATTGGCCGCGAGCTATTGACATAAGGTCATTTCTAGTTGCGTTGGGTCTGTTCTTTTTAGATCACAAACGAATCTGAAAGAGACAATTAAAAAAGTGGAAGGGTTTGAGAGATCTTTTTATCAGTGTGATTTGCCGTAAGTTTCCTGCTTTGGCTGTAAATCGGACATCCGCACGACAATAAAAGCGTTAATGCCGAGTCACGTCACGGAGCCCTCCTGAACAGAGTACTACCGGAGCTTGATTCCTTGCTAGGAGATCACTCGTGGTACATTCTAACTATACACTTCTGTGACACTGTCATGAAGCGAGAGTAGACTGGAATCAAGCGTTCCAGGTTGGACCTGTTGAGACAAAATCCAGCGCTAGTACCGGAGCATTCTAACCTAGAACAATGGTATACTTAAAATACCTGCCTCGCAGACTGACCAAGCGGAGCTCGGGGGAAAGATATAACGATAGGAATTAAAGGGGGCAAAACCAGGAAAAAAATCACTTAACCAGGACTCGAAACCAGGATCAGTCTCATGATAGGAAGACTGAATGCCATCACATTAAGAAATCCTAAAACCCCTTATAGCCTTTTGAGGCTATTTGAGCCGTTTCCTGCTCACGAACTGCCAAAAACGTTGTTCACAAGTCGAACACTACGCAGACTTTTGTTGTTCATGGCTTGAAGTTGTTGCTGTTGATAAATTAAGGCTTCCAAAGTCCGGGCTTACGGTTTTGTTTGTCGTGGTTGTGTTGCTAGGCAACTGCGGACACGACCCTGATAAAGGATCCACGCGAGAAGTATGAAAACCCTACTTTCACAAAAGCTCCCGCCAACAAAAGACGAGAAAATTCCCACGTTATTTTATCATGTTAAAGAGGTTTCATTGGGATGATCATACCACAAAATTTCGTCCCCACACTCAAAAGTCATCACTACATTAATGCATGTATTCAATCTGGGAGTGATAGGTTCACACGTACGTGTATAAGGAGTCGAGTTTGATGCATGTATCCACTAAAGATCCAAGAAAAATTTCAGTCTCCTTAGAGTCCCATTCAAGCTGCTTGCATGGTTCTATAAACTGTCGTGAATAAAAAAGAAAACGAAACCAATTACCAGTGCTCTTACCAGGCCGGGGGATTCCCGCGGAATTCCCGCCAAAGGAGTGTCTAAGAGAGGAGGCAACGAGCCAAACGCGTAGAAGAACTAGAAAATGTTCGTACACTCATCGTCTAAAGCGTTTAATCGACTTTTATCATCGTTGGTCACACACACGTGGCGTAATGGCATATCACCGCAATCTTTAATCACAAAACAACTATAATAGGGTCATACATGTAGTACTAACCGCAAAACCCTTTCGAGTGCGTGCGCTTGTTGCGGCGTGGCGTATGTTTGTTGACATATACGAGTACGGATAGCTTTGCCCAAGTTAAGTTCCTTCGGAGCTATATTTCAGAGGATGGGGCCCTCGGCCTCCTAAAGTAAAATCCCTTAAAAGAACACTGAATCACCAAAGGCTAGTACTAGCTATCAAATTGGCTGTATAGCATAATAAAAGGCTTGACATTCTCTCGACATTTTTGGGGGGAGGGAGGGGGGCATTTTGAGACCGTTTGTCAATGCTTCTCAACCTTCTTTATGTTCTTAAAATTAAGAAGTAGTATGACACGCTCAACCAGCTATTTCGAATAGAGTAAGCGCCCCGTATCTACACAACCCGTTTAAATCTCACTTGCTTGGTATTCATTGAGGAGATGCAGGGTTGAGTCCGGTGTCCCGCTTAAGTAATCGCAATCGCGATAGAACAGTTGTCATACAACCATCGCGATGGCGATGGAGCGAAGGCGATTCAATAATAGCAATTTAGCAATTGTGATCGCTATAGAGTACTCGCGATACAGTTCTGGAGATCGCTATATAGCAATCGCTATACAACAGCTTACTGTCACGATGGCGATACAGCAATGAAGCGAAAGCACAACAATCGCGATACAACTATCGCGATCGCCGTGGAGACACCGCACACCCAACCATCGCGATAACGATAAGGTAATTGCAATGTAACAAAGGCAATCAGCAAAGAGCAACCGCGACAAAACTATCACAAAAGCGATACATCTCGCAATCGCGGTACAACTATCGCGATAAAACTTACACGAAAACGTTACAATTATCGGAAATAGAACTATTGCGATAGCGCTATAGTAATCGCGATCGTAATAAAATAAACCAGACACAATGATAACGGTACAACTATCGCAAACGCGATAGGGTTATCGTCTCGATCGTGATCGAAGAATTACCAGAGAGAGACCTTATACCAATGCTCTTAAAAGTGACTTCGGCGAACACCTTACTACAGACCAACGTAAGGGTGTGCTAATTTTACAGGGTAAAACCTGACTTGCAAAACTCTGTTGAAGTCACAGTGCAGCAGCAACTGAGGCGTAGTTGTGTTGCTGTAATTTCGAGTTACGGTTGTAACGAAAACAAACCCTACCTTTTCCACAAAGTCACTTAAGACATCCTTAACTTCCTTGCTGTGGATGAGACCAGCTGCTATATTAAGCAGGGATCGACAGAGAGTCTAGAAATAGAAAAAAAATACGATTCATGAGCGTAAATACATCATTCAAAAGGCATTAATGTTTCAAGTGGGCTTCACTAAAATGATATTAGAGACCTTTAGATTCGAGGACGAGAACGACTATACGAGTACGAGATTTGACTTGAAGTTTTTTGCGTCTTCTCAAAATATAGACTTCCAGGAAAGCTTCATTTTACCATTTTTCACTAGAAAAGTTAGCACTGTTATCTTAAGTGAAGGAGGTTACGCGCTTTCCCGATCGCAAAATGGTAAAACAGTTGTTATCTTGGTTTTGCCAGCACGTCATTCGCGCTAAAACTCGTAGTAGAATGACGACGGCTACCACATTTTCCCGCCAAAATGACGCTGCATCACGCGCGAGCACTACTTAGTATAGAGAAAATCTCGTACTCGTACTCGTACTCGTCTTAGAATCTAAAGGTCTCTATTGTCGCGTGATGAGAGACGATATCAAGCATCCAGTCCAAATATGATACTACGGCAAAAGCCGGACCCACTCAAACAGCCGATAACGACTACAGCACAACGCCTACGAAACTTATGACAAATTGAAACACCATTTTATTTTCTCCTCTCGCCGTCCTTATTGCGCAAGCCCTTCTCCTTGTTGCACACTACTATGGTTAACTCTGGTTCATAAACTACTCTGGATGGTCAGTCCAGTGTTTTTATAGTATAAACCGAATCAAGTAGACTGCTCATTTTGCTTTCCCGCGCGCGCATTTCGAACGTGCCACCGAGAGGGAATGGGACGATTCGTTTGCTTGTTCCAATCCTCTTCGGCCAAATTTCTACCACATGCTACTTTCAAAGTCAAAAACGAGGTAATTTCGAAAAGAAAGTGTTGCACGCTGTCTAAAAAGAAGAAGCTCCCGGATTACTTTTCAACTAAACTTTTGTACCTTAAAATTCGCTTCCACGGACTTCGTAAGCTTTTTGGTGAACTTTTTGCTTATGTCAATGCAAACTAAACTAAAAAAAGAGAGAGAAACAAAGTTGTTACTTAAAAATTCTTAAGGTTAATCAAAAACTCTGTAAAAGATAGCACACATTTTAAACATTCTCCTCTTCATGGTAAATAATCTACCGCTTTTATTTAAATTTATTTAAAGCAATATTTATCCAGGAGCATCCAATTTAGCAGAGCCAGTTTAAATGGAGCCCTGACACAAACAAAGCCATCAAAAGATAAAAGAGACAAGACAATTAATTAATGAGGCAACATGTACAGGCATTATTGTCTACGATGATTCACTGAGCGTGGCTATTTGCCTGATGTTTTCCGGTAGAGTGTTGTATGTGCGAGCACTGTTTTAGCCTGTTCCAGGCTCCGAGATAGTCGAGTCCGCGAAATTGACAATACACCAGATCAGGTGCTCATAATTTCGCGTGCCTTTCACCTACGCGTCATTCCCACTATCTGACAGCCTGGGGCCCGTTTCTCGAAAGTCCCGGTAACTTTTCGGGCCCGAAATCAAATTTTCAAATCGAAATAAAAAGAACAAGAGCGCGGGTCTAGGGTGGCAAACTACTCCATTTTGTTTCATTGACTGATAGTTTTATCATGTTAGATGCAAAACTATTGAAACCTCGATCTTTAATGTAAACGGACACAGCTTACCGGGCCCGTTGATTATCGGGACTTTCGAGAAACGGGCCCCTGGAACAAGCTAGCACCGTTTATTCTAAAGCTTCCTTGGTACTTAGCAGTTTTCACAAGAGTAGGACGCAGCAAATCATGGCTTCTGGTGTTGTAGCCATGAACATATTAGTTGTCACAATAATGTGAATAAGAAAATAAAACAAAACACGAATTTATGTTCCTTTAATTTTTTTACAATATGTACTGCACAGAAGACTAAGGGCGCGATCCATTCAACCAAACTTTCCGGAAATTTCGGTCCAAAACTCAATGGATCGGTTCGGTCCAACCGGAAAAGTTTCGAAAAAACGGGTCCACCTTTTGAGGTGGTCCTCTTTTTTCGGTCGGACCTGTCTGAATTTTGGTCGAATGGATCGTGCCCTAACTCTCTGGAGTAGGTTCCGGAACTCGTGTGGCTCATGATATAGCAGAAGTTTACTAATGTTATGAGGTAGTTGCCGCGCGAACTGTTTGGTTGAACGTTAAAATCCTGCATATTTTATGGTATCAAACATCGCTACAAAAGAAAAGAAGACAGATTTAAAAAAAAAAAAACGGAATGCTTAGAGCCGCCTTCTATAAGTTAATGGAATTTTTACCTTTTGTGTTCATCCACTATATCTTTATCGTTGACAAACACTTTGAGATCTCTTAACTCTTGAAGGAAAACTCTGTCAAACTCAGCACCAGTATCCCCCACGTCAGCAGCTACAAAAAACGATGTAACAGTGTTTGATGCTGATTGCTTCAACATCAGGACTCGAAAAAAGTCCTGTCCGGTAGTCCGGGACAGGTACATGTAGATAGAGACCTTTAGATTCTAAGACGAGTACGACAACGTGTTCGCGCTTGAACCAGCGTCATTTTGGCGGGAAAACGTGGTAGCCGTCGTCACTCTACTACGAATTTTAGCGAGAATGTCGTAGTGGCGGGAACAAGTTATCGTCAAATCTCGTACTCGTAGTCATCCTGGTCCTTGAATCTAAAGTTCTCTGATATTCTTGCTGCGCAAGTAATTATTTCTCGCTCTAAAAGAGAGACTGGGCTTTATTGCTCTTTTTTCTCTCTTAAAGTCCGGGTGGCCATGCGATTTCCCCCGCGGCGTGCTTGAAATGCAAAATTTCACCCCAGCTACATGAATATAGGGTGGACGTACGTGCAGACGACTTTGTCAGAACCAGAATTTCTTGAATACATAGATAAGCAGATTTTCGTACCCATGATGCTCCGCTATAATGCCAGTTGTTATAGAGCTGGAAATTTCTTCCTAACAGCGCGCGCTATCATTGGTTACTTCGACGTCACATGACATCAAAGGGCACATTCCAAAATCTATGTCGTCAGAGGGGAACAGTGCACTGTTACCCGCGAATGTTGACCGGGGGCGCGATCCATTCAACCAAAATTTCCGGAAATTTCGGTCCAAAACTCAATGGATAGGTTCGGTCCAACCGGAAAAGTTTCGAAAAAACTTGTCCACCTTTTGAGGCGAACCACTTTTCCCGGTCGGACCGACCTGAATTTTGGTTGAATGGATCGCGCCCCGGCATTACAGCGAGGTTTAATGAATTTCCACCTATAATATAACAAATCACTTACGGGAAACATTGAGATTCTCGGGAAACAAAATTAACTGTTTCCCTCGGGACTAGTCATAAAGTGTTTATTATTTTACGTTCTTTAAAAATGTCAGTGAAATTTGTCGCATACATGCACAGTGCAGGTGTTTTATGGAAACTACTTTTTAACTTGAAAAAATCAAATTTAAAAGTAATAAATTATACAAGGAGGTGTTTTAAGTGCACTAATTGTGACTAAACCCTCATGCTTACAGATAAAGATGTTGTTTATGGGATGACAAGCTGTTGAATGGTACAACAAAATTTATTATTCCAATAAATTACTTTTAAGTAAGTATGGAAATCCAAAACTATTCTGAAAACAACCCTGAAAGCTGTATTTCCACAATTAAAGCAATGAAAACCAGAAAGGCCTCTTCATAAAGGACACGCTTTTTATGTAGGTTGTTGTGAAGCGTAATTTTGCGACAAAACAGTTTACAAGGTTTATACATGGACTTGGTGATGCAACTGCATCGCAAAGGATGACGTTGCCACTTACTGTTCAGCATTTAGAGATATAAGTACTTTGTTATAATCATTTCTAGACTTTCGATTAAATAGGGACCACCATTGGTTGATTCTTGGTCACGTGGTCGACAAGCCATAATGTTTCCCGAGCCAAACAAAACTAATTGTTATCATTGCGACCTGACTTTAAGTGTGTACTTTCAACAGGAATGGGGGTAAGGGAACTGTTTTCTCTTTGGAGATTAGAAGTATATTGGTATATTGGTATTAGAGTATATTGGAGATTAGAAATAAGCATTGATTTTGGACGGTGTTTAACTATTTCAGGCAATTAAAATTTCTTGGAATACCACTTCTGGAATGCTATGGTACAATCCTTTCCTAAGTAATGAATAAAGCCGAAGCTAAGGTTGACAATTTTACACAATATTCATATACATCTATCACATTCATCTCTTTTACGGGAAGATATGAACATATAATTGACAAGCTACCAACAGCAGTGGCTTCATATCTCAGTTGGTTAGAGCATCGCACCGGTATCGCGAGTTCACGGGTTCAACTCCCGTTGAAGTCCTGAATTTTTTTCACCTTTTTACGCAGTTGCATAAATTGCGTTCACAACTGCGAGGATCATTCTTCATTTAATTTTAAACAAATCACTTTATGTTGTCAACCCATTCGTTGGGTTGGTGCAAAAGTTTACTGGAATGCTGGAACAGTCTATACGCCTTATTATTTTGTGGCTGAATCTGCAAGAGGGCAGGATGAGGAGGGTCGTGTGTTCTGATTGGCTTTCCCAAAAGGGTAAGATGGGCCCTTCTCTCGGTATTTTCTTCGTCGCTCCCACAAGAAAAAGTTCTCTTTTTGGCCTTATAACAAATCCTTTATTGACCAAGCTTGTTCGGCCAAGATTGCAGGAAATTAGCCTCATTCTATTCTGCCTTTTCATTGACTTCCACTTTGCCTCAGTCCATAAAAGCGCAAAAAAAAAAAAAAACTTCACCACCATCCAGCCATCCTGACCTCACACTAGGTCAATAAGGCATATTTCCAAAATAGTGGCAATAGTTACTTTTCTTTAATGTTAATGTTCATTCCCGTCTCCAGAGCCTTCCGGGGGCCTGAACACGAGGTCTTCGTGCTCAGGCCCCAAGGAGGCTCTGGGGACGAGAATAGTTAATGTTATAAACCAATGTAGCTCTCTCTGACCAGGTCGCATCTGCAGAATTCAAATGAACTTTTACCTTGAAAAAAGGCATTGAGCTGGCCCCAATAATATTATCACGAAAACAAAGGAATAATTTGCCACCGCTTTTTAACAAGATGCAGTAGCTAAAGGAATGATCAGCAACGTTGACTTTCAGACGAAGTTCAACCTCTTCAAAATTTGGCAATTCAGGGACAAAATAAAAATTAGTTTAAACAAAATTTTGATGGCAGTTATTTTTTATTTTGTATTCTTCCCACTTTTTTCTGTTCTTTACCATGCCACTGACTCCTAGGGGTAATCTACAAGTAGAACTGATCAGCTATGAGTTTAAAAAGATACTTACCAGATGATCCCTCAACTGAATTAACAGTCCAGTGATCTAACATCTGCCCAGCACAGAAAGTGAGATCATCAAATGTCAAGTACAACAGCCTGGTAAATATAACATTATTAAACATAGCTCAGTCTGCATTGTGTCATTGGCTGATAATGTATGTTCCCCAAAAAGGATACAATTTACTAACTTTTTCTGCTAACATCCATTCTCTTATTGTATTAAATCACTAAATTAGTGAATCCTAAACACTCGAGAAACAGTTTTGATTTTGTGTTGAAGAAATGCAATGTCATGATTCGTTTTTTGCATCAAATGGAAACTCCGAAAAAATCCGAGCCCCAGATGGGATTCGAACTCACAGACCTCCGTGATCTAGTCAGATGCACCAACCACTGAGCCACTGGAGACTTGATGGCGAGCAAGGGTGAAATGTGGTTCTTTGAGTAGAACTGCATCGCACAGTCACATAGTCAAACCCGGACAAGCACGTATGACTCTGAACTGCACAGTGGTGGATTCAGGGGAGGGGCCTGGGGGGGCGCCCCCTACCTCTTATTTTTAGACCAAAGTGACGCCCAAAGGGCTGAAGAAAATTTTTTAGGAGACTGCACCCCCCTTATCTCAAGGTCTGGATCTGGCACTGCTGCATCACGCAACGCAACCATCAAGTTACCAAGTGAGTCTTTTGAAGAAGAAGAAGAAAACAATACGTTTTTTGCATCAATGGAAACTATAGGAGCCCCAGATGAGATTTGTGGGGTCGAATCCCAGAGGGTCATGGGTTTGAATCCCAATCTGGGGCTTGGACTTTTTCCAAGTTTCCATTTGATGCAAAAAACGTATCATTTTCTTCTTCTTCAAAAGACTCGCTTAGTAATCTCAATGTCCCCTCTATTTAATTTGAGACAGAGTGCTGTGACAGTACCTTGGGATCGTTGCACAGACAAGAATTAAATAAAATTATTACATGTACTTGTACATGTGAGCAAGAGAGGCAAACCTTGCTTGCATGTAACATTCTCACCCCTGCAACAATAGCCTGTTTCAGGCTCTCAGATGCATGGTAGGGATGACATGCGATTATCTATAACAGTATCCTGAGTGCTATCTAAAGTTGAAAAATCTTGAGAAAACTTATAAAAACTAAAAATAATGATTATTAATTTTGTCAGGTGGATAAAAATCAAATAACAAGAAACTATAGATATACAGTGTACATGTAGCAGTGGGTGTTGTTTGAACAGTCTGGTGAACTGAGTCCAGTAACTGTTTTCATGAGCAAAACATTATTACCAGTACTTGAATAGAGTTGTAGAATCATTGTTGACAGGCATTTGAATTACCAACCTTTTCTTCCCTGTTTCTATCTTGTTAATTGCCATAAAACAAATACATGCATACTGCCTGTTAAAGAAAACCCAAATCAAAAAGTAAACTCATGGACTCGATCAAACAATACAGTCACCACCCCTCTTTGAACTCTGTAAGGCCTTATCCTGACTTGTATTTATTTTAACCCTTTAAACCCTCAGATCAAAATTTAAATTCTCATTTGTTGTCCCCATTCATTTCCTACAGAAGTAGTGGGGAGAAGTTAACAAAATATCAAGCAAATTCATCGTGTGTGAACATGTCAGTAATTCACATGACCACTCTGTTTTACAAAGCATTGATATTACAAGGAGAGATTTGATGCTGATCACTCTTAGGACTCTTAGGATTCCTTTTAATGTCACTACTTAACTGGTAGAAATTGGTACAACTGTAATGAGAATTTTCAAATTGAGAATAAACACTATTAAATGAAAGATCATTGCAGTTATAGACACTAACTTTGCAGTTTTGAAAAGAAAGCCTGAAAAAATTCAGGCTTGTATATTCAGGAATCGAACCGTTGACCTCTACAATAACAGTGCAGCACTCTACTGTTGAGCTAACAAGCGAAATAGCTCAATTAGTAGAGTGCTGCAATGGTATTGCATGGAATTCAAGGGCTCAAATCCCATATAAGCCTGACGTTTTTCAGGCTTTTTTTCGCAACTGCATAGTCATGTCTATAACTGTGATGATCTTCTTTCATTTTTATTCTTCACCCCACAGTTCCATTATTGATTTTCATTCATTATTTTAATACACACTATTTAATAATATACTGGACCACCTAAGGTCACCAGTCCTTGACTGTGAAATGCATTTCCCCATCAACACAACAGAAAATGCACACTGGCAATCAATACAGAATACATTGTAAACCCCCTAACAAAAGAGTTCTAAAGTGATGACGTCATGTGACAACAACAACAACAACAACAACACTTTATTTCACCCCATAATATACAAGAAATAAAAAGTTTATAACAATAGTACAGACGATGATAGGGGCGCTGGCTGCCCAAAATAACCTAAGAGTTAAAAATGCCAGGCAGCCAGTTAAAAGAAAAGACTGATGTTTAAATGTTTAGGTCAGGGACACAAGAACAAAGAAAACAGAGAAACACACACAAATGGTTAAGTAAACTACCAGTATATAAAGAGACTAAAATTCATACATTGCAAAACAGTATTATTTCCATTTTAAAGTTACCCAGACAATGTACAGATGAAAATTAAATTTGTGAAATTATGGGATTTGTCAGGATATTCTGAAAGAACAACATCTATATTTGACTCACTGCTAATGCTATGAACTCAGTCAAATTTAGAAGGATCTGTATGGAGTCATTGGAGCATAACTGGGCTAATATCTCAGAGACAATTTGCCCCGAAATGCTGGTTTTTGGCAAGTAGACCTCTTGGTTGTTGTTCTTTCAGAATATCCTGATGAATCCCATAATTTCACCTATTTATTTTTTACGCATCACTTTTTAGAACTCTATTATTTCTCCCACAAAGAGCTGAAACACATAATAAATTTCCATTTGTGTGGTGCTTACACTCTTTAGTGGCAGGCTAATGAAGATGGGTTACAATAATAATGTTAATTTTCATTTTGAGTTGTCTTCAAAGAACAAATGTTGCTGAAAAGGCATTACATTCTTGATGAAGAGGGAGAGGCAGTGCTCATTCAAAGGCAGTACTTATAACATTACTCTGAATAGTGCATACGTATTGATGGACATACTCAGTTATCCTTTTAGCCCCCCTCTGGATGGTCCCCTCCATCCAGTAGGCCCTTTCCTCTTTTTGGGCCCTTTCCTCTTCCCCGTCTTCAAAGGATTCTACAGAAATTACTTCTTTTAAAACACATTAAGCTAAATAAGATCATCATTACAATGTACATGTTAGTCAGTTATGGCGCTTTTCAAAAACACTTGAACTCTGAAGTTCAAAAGCCAACTGACGTTTGCATTTTTCCCTGCCGCCAATCATCTTAGCAAACAAGACTTAATTTGAACAGGTTCAAAAGGTCATGGTTTGTGATCAGTGATTGGTGGATTTCAATCTGTTGTGAGTGTTTCTTTGTTTCAAGGTTTGTTGCTTGTGATATTGTAATTATGATTGACGGCAGCAAAAAATGCAATTGTGAAGGTGGCTTTTGAACTTTAGAGTTCGCCTGTTTCTGAAAAGTGCAGTAAAAACGTTACTTGTCATTCACTGAGTTACCTTGCTAAATTATCAGACAGCAAAAACAGCTTCTTTATGGTGTCAACAAGCCCAGCCCTTTCAGCCTCCTCTATTGCTCTCAACACATTTTTCACATTGTCAAACTATTAAGTAAAAACAAATGCAAAATGTTAAACAAAATAATAGAAGTTAAAATACTCATAGCTTTTTTTGTCCAACATGCAAATTGGAAACAGACATTCTTTTTTTAGCTTGTTTACTGTGGAACTTATAAACTGTGAACACAAGAAAAAGTAACTCAGGCAGGAGAAAACTAAATTCTAACCAGCAAATTATTAATTTGTGGTTTTGTGGCAAGCTCAGTTGTCCTGACACCTTAAGTTACTGGCCATAAGAAAGCCAGCATTCCAGAAATATTTCAGGTGTTTATGGGCTTCTAAGTAACAGTACACTGTACTTGTACATGTAGTTACTAGTACATGTAATAACCAAAGGTTATGGAGTATGGGGGACAAAAATCAAAGGTAAAAATGCTCTTGCTCCAACAATGTGCTTGGCACATAAATGAAGTTAAACAAACAGCTAAACACGCAAATTATGCAGATGCAAAAAGAAAGCCTTTGCATAAGTTTCATGTGATAGATGGTCAAAATAGGGCGTATGGAAAAGCCGGAAGCCGGAAGCCGGAATCCGGAACCGGAAACGGAACCCGAACCCGAACCCGAACCTAAGAAATAAAACTTGGAGACATTTCTGTCTTAAGAGTGTCACTAACAATTATTGTTCGATCAAGACTTTTCATCCCCACATTATATTTATTTATTGTTATTATATTTTTTTCTGTCGCATTTTTTGCGTACGGCGCAAAATTTTTCTTCTAGAATTTCATATACGCGTGAGCGATGCAACTTGGGATCATGATTGACATGAGTACTCCTCCTCCCTTTGCCGCCTTTTCCTCACAATGGATGAAACACGGAGCCCTTTTAAGAAATGAGTAACTTAGGCTCAAGAGAAGGAAATGAATAACACAGGGGTCTTAAACATCACACACTAATAATGGCTGTTTTTCGCTGTCAATCGGCTTCTGATTAGTTGTAGTCTGGATCAGTCAAAAATTGCTCGACCTACAGCTGCAGTCACAGTTTATGACTGCTAGGAATAACAGTAGGATACACTTACCTTTTTTTTTGCAAGTTCACTTTCCGAATGTGAGTATACCTTTGGTATCACGATCACTAAGCTGAAAATTTCTCAAAACAATGATAACAGAGGACGCCGCCTTGAATTTTATTCCCACACCGCTATCGGGAACTGGTTTCAGTGCTTCCCAGTTTACCTTGGTCTCAATTTAAGTTCCGGGTCCGGTTCCGGTTCCGTTCCCGTTTCCGTTTCCGGCTCCAGTTCCGGATTCCGGATTCCGGCTTTTCTATACGCCCGTCAAAATAAGCATTGCCAAGGCTTAGTGTTCTGCCAGGCATTCCACTCATTCTTAGTGGAAGTCCACACAAAGCTGGGTATAAATAGGTGCCACGCATGGGTAAAGCAACCTGGAGACTAGGATTGCAGGATCCTCTTGTCACCCAGAAAATAATATTACTTAAGACTTACTTTATAATATTACTTTAAAATATTACCAGTACTTTACTTACTTTCCAAGTTTTAGCTACTGGGGTTATGGCAACAAGACAACCTATGTTGGAATTACCATTTTGAACAGACAGTAAAGAAAGCCAGCCAGAGATTGTATTAATTGAGGGAATGCAGGAAAGCAAACCTACCTACAGAGATTGGAATTACGATATATTGTACCCAGATACACCCACTTCTCGACTTTGCATCCCCAGTATGGGGCCGTTTGCCAAAGTACCTTGCAGAAGAGTTACAGCCTATACAAAACAGGTGCCTAGATATCATCGGCATACCAAGAACATCCCTTCCAAACTTAGAGGACAGGTGCAAAGTAGCCACAAAGTGTGAATTAAAAAGAATTGTGAATGATATTAACCACCCAAATCAAATTTTTCTCACTAAGCCAAATACCAGCCATGGCTATAACTTAAGATCTATACCAGATTCAGTAGAAATACCAAAGTCAGGAACGCAAAGACATACATGTACTATAACTTGTCTTTAGCAAAAGCTGTAAGACTCCTAGCTACTTCTGTGATCTGCACATTTTTACTTTCAGTACCTTTATTAGAAATTTACTCAATAGTATTTTCATCGTTTATGTTATTCCCCTTTAATTATGTAAATCCATTGTATATGGTATTTTTAAAGATGGATAAATAAAGCCTATTATTATTATTTAAGAATTTGCACCTGATTATTTTAATGATGTACATTTTAAATCTCACCAGAGCCCAAGAAGGAGGTTACTGGTATTGCTGAGGGTGTTAAAACATGCAAACTTGCAAAATTATTAAACTTTGATCAATATGTACATGTAATTGTCACAAGGAATGGTTCCCTTATAGAGCAGTATGGATAAATAAATTTTCACCAGGCCCATGTGAGGTACTGGCAATCATTTTCAGAAGGCTTCTACAAAATTTTCAAAAAACAAACTGTTTTATTCTTATATTATTTTACAAGTGTTTAGTCTAGAAACTTGTACAAACCTGTCGGCGACAACTCTTGAGAGTTATATTTGTCTTCTCACTAACATCATCTAAGTCCTTTCTTAACCGCCCAGTCAGCTTTTTACCCAACAGTTCTCGCACCACTTCTTTATCAAACTGGTAGTACCTATCAAAGTGCAAGGACAAAATGACTGAAGTGATCCTGACCTGCAAGAATTAGGTTAAACCTGACTTTCATGTACTTATACAAGAGAGATTACACCTGTAGTATCAAGCATTTAAAGAATGATTTTCAAAGGCATTAGCGATCAGTTACCTATCCCTTAGTTTTCTAACATATTTTAATGATTATGGTTAGCGTCATTTTTCCAAAGAGGGTAATTACAAGTTCATTTTGGTGGAACATGTTGCATTTTTGTTGGTTATAACCCCATTAATATTCCTCTGGTCCACTCCCCGCCCAAGAACAAGAACAAGATGATGAATAGCCATTGTAGAGATGTGGCTGTTGTTTCAAGGTCTCTTCTAATAGAGAGGTGGTCATATAAAGGGAATGGCCATTTGTCAAAAAGGACAAGGGAAAATCCTTGATACATATACAGCTGCATGGTCTCAGACAATTAACTATGATCTCCCAAATAGAAGTTGATAATGCTTTCCAGTAAAAGAATAACAATCCTCTCATCAAAGATTATTTTTGTCATTGTCGTGCAATCAAGGCTTGGGGACTGGGTCTACAAACTTTTTGTTTGCACAAAAAAAAATTAATGGTGGGGTGGGTTAAAGATTTGGGGGGGGGGAGGAGGAGGTGGTAGTGCAAAAGAAAAAGTCTCCAGAGTTCAAGCCTCCAGAGGTTAGTATCTCTGGCTTATATGCAGTCCATTAAGCTTAACTTTAATAACAGTTTGTGGTATGTTATTCTTTTTACAAGCAGGTTTAGTTTTCTTACAAATTATGTGACTGTTTCACCAGTTTTTGCTCTGAGAAAAATTGATTGTCTTACTTTTCAATCAGCATATCCTGAACATCTGGTGAAATCTGTAATAGCATTTGTCTATCTAGCATTGGAGGAGACTGAAGGAATCGCTCCAGGATGTAGAACAGGCGAAATTGGTCATGAGTGTCACTAGTAATGATAGAATGTGAAGCTCCATGGTTTTTTGATAAATCATCACATTCACGCCTCTGAGTTGCTTCATTTTCTAGCAGAAAGAAAAGGAATTTGAAAATGACTAGGAAAAATTCTTTTCAGGCCCGGCCAGTTTTTTTCCAGTTTTGGGTATTATTCGGGTATATGAGGTCTTTTTCAATTCAGGTATTAATACTGTATTTGTGACCGTGAAAGGCAAAATAGACACTAGCCGTTATTCGTTATCCGTTCAAACGCTTTAAAAAAGCCGCTCAGAGTGATTGATCAACCATTCTGAAAATGCGTTGCTTATCTGTTCGATAAACATTAGCATCCGCTCAAAGGATTTGCAACATCTGTTCGAACAGTTTAGACATCCATTTGAACCATTCCCAAACTGAAAATGACCGTTTGAAAAATTGTGACATCTCGGTTCAAACAATTACTATGAATTTTAGAGGTTCGTGCTTGACACTTTCCTTATCAATTTTTCTCCACAGATATTAAATATTTTCAACTTGGACCAGCAGCTTCACAATAAGGGTGAAATCGAACAAAAAGATCATTTGTTAAAGCATCCAACTTCGCAAATCGCAGGCGAGTATGCTTACTAGTCACGGGTTCGCAGTTGGCCAACCCGAGGTGAATTTGCATGCAAAACTGCCCTTTTCCACTTAGAGATGCATATTAATTTGTAGTTCATATTTGTTACAACTACAGTGTAGTAATAGCTGACACTACAGCTGCCCCCACTCTGTATCAGGGTTGTCAGAAATTTTTGAAGTAGAGGGGTGAGTTGTCAAAGTAAACGGCCAGTCCAGGGATATTTTATTTAAAAAACACCATCTATAAAGAAATGCCAAGCAGAGTACCCGGCCAATTCTAACCAAGTAGGCGGCTATTTTTGACGGCAGCTGGCTACTTTTTGACAACCCTTTCTGTATATTGTCGTTCAATATAATTCTTGTTCTTTCCATAATAATGGAGATTTTCACACATATTACATACAATAGGCGAGATAAAAACAGGAAATGCAAGTTTCCATGCACTAATTGAGTTCGATTTACAAAGCTTTGATCAAAACATTCTCAGTTTCGAGAATATTTTACTCTATACCATGTGAAAAGATTTGATTAGAAGTTGGCATTTTTCGCTATTTTATTAGCCTGAAAGTAAGCCTTTAAGCCTTAGAAATTAAAAGGTTTGATCAATTCACACTCCAGCATTCTAGTCATTTCTGTTTTAACTATTTTGATAGTTAAAACTAAGTTTAAACTATTTTTTTAAAGTATTGTCGTAAAAGAAAATACTTTAAAAATAATACTTTATAGAAGAAAGTAGGACATTTGTGGGCAGGCAATAAGTCAGCGCAGAATTTAATTGTCGGCAAATTTCTGTAACCATCCATTGTTCTACTAGGGATGAGCTGGCTACTGATTCACTCGTCTTGCTTATTCTCCCAAAGAGAGAGAAAGAGTGTCTGGCAATTGCAAATTGTTTCAAATCATAGATTTGTGAATGATAAACTCATGTCATGTCTGGCAAACTCTCCAAGTGTTTATATATACACAGTTACATGCACCTTATAACTTCATCCACGCTTAACAAGTGTCTTTTGGTCCATAACTTTCAAAACAGCTGCTCCACAGAATGTCACTGATAACACATAACGAATCCCAAGCGGTCCCTTAGCACATAGATAGAACTATCAGAATACATGTAGATTGTTTGTTAACTGTTTGTTATCCATGCATTCTTCCCATTCGAATGATTTTCTGTTAGGGTCTGTTTTGCCTTTCACGGTCACATTTTGTTGTCACAATATGGACCTTCTTTTCCTAAATTTTTAGTATTTGGTATCTAGACACGGGTTTTTATACATTTTTTCATATATAAATGTGTGTTGAAACTGTATTTGGGTGTGTTATTTCTCAGTAACCAGCTAAATCATTGTAAAGTTGTGGTATTTAGTTTCGAGGCAATTTTAGGTATTAAGTATTAAAGATTTTACAATTTTTAGTTATTATACAATGTATATCTTATTCCTTGGGTCAGAGAGAAAAGATGTCATTCCAACCCTAATATTGTAATTTACTCTATCTAATTTAACTTCCTAGACTTGTTAACTCTCTGGAACTGCAGGCCAGTTTCAAATTTAAACTAATCGATAAACTGACACTACCATATAAAAAGTCATGTTGAGATTGCTTATTTGACCAAGTTTGGTGCTCTAAAGTTGAACAGGGATCAAGTTATGCTTCTTGAACATGATTAAAGATCCACACAAACGTCTGTAATTTTGTGACAGCATCCCCCAAAACCATATAAACTCTTTAAAATATTTTTCATTTTTTCTGTTAAACTGTAAAATTCGTCATAGATCTACTACTTGTAAGGAACTAATTTGAAAATTACTATGTTTGCCCATTTTCAGGAATATCACAGAAATCATGAAAAAAGTAAAAAGTTTATTTATCTTCAACCTAGTGTAAATAAGGCCATCCCCCCATTTTTTTTTGTTTAGCATTGAATGCATTTCCTGATATTGGGTCATTCGTTCAGATTGCAAAAAAAAATCTAACAAAAAAATCACAAGAAGGCTCAGAATAGGGAGCCCTGGTACCCCAGGACGACGGTAAAAGTTAACATGCACATAATATAACAAAATGCACAATATACTGTAAAACATGTTCCTGTTTTTGTTCCTGTCTTCTCTATGCTGTTACTATGCTCATTTTTCAGATTAAAAGAATTATTTCAAGTGAAAAATGGTTTAACTACATCGTTACTTTTTTTTTTTTGAAAATGCCAAAAATTTGGGTCGGTCGGAAGACGCTAAACAGAGGATGGCCTAAAAATTCGTAAAACTCTTGCTTTCTTGACTTTGCAATATGATGACGTCACTGGTAGTCTTTACACTAGAGTCTAAATAAGCTAAGAAATATCTGAAGACAAGTAAATTTTAAATTCTTCAAGTAAAAGGAAGCTTCACGCACAATTTTTCTTTTTTTACTTCAGGTTTACTTAAGGCCATTTTCCCACGTAACATAATTAAGATTGATTGACACGATTCGCCTTTCTCAAACACAAGAAACCGCAAGTTCTCTAAATCAGTTTTAAGGATGGTTTTCAAGTCACTTGAAACTTTCTTGAATCGTTTCAACTTTCCGGCTTTAATGAGATGCAAAGTAAAATAACTTGAGATTTTACTTAGGCCTTCACACGCGTACCTTTGGTTAAGTAAAACTTAGCAGCTCTTAAGTCTTACTTAACGGCCTGGTGTAAAGACAACCACTGTGAAACCATCAATATTGCTATCCCACTACCCACCCCTGGCCAGGCCTGTCTTTTAGTTAGACCATTGCATTTATACTGCAAAAAGCATCAAAAAGAAATCACCAAATATAAGCTTAAGAACGCTCAAGATTACCACAGAATCCACGCAGCCACAAGTCATAAACATCAGGGTCAATAAACGCTGGGTCCATATAGAATACATCAATGTCCTCCATTATTTCTTCCTGCAGCTAATTAACCAACGTAGCTAATACTTGGCACATGTTCATTTAAATTAAGGTTATTTTGACTCACAATCAGGTATTAACGTTTCCAATAATCCGCCACTCCGCCATCTTTGAAGACCGCTCTGCTCAGCGGTCTTTCCTTCAATACTTTTCGACATCATATACAGAGCACCAACAATAACCTTTCCTCTTGGAACGGGCTAATAAAAAAGTAGAAGTAACAAAAATGTTCATTAAAAATAACGAAATCATGAACAAAAGTGCCGTGTTTAGGTTGAAATTATCCTTTCCAAACGTTTCGGGCCTGGTCCTTCACCAGTGGAATTACCAGTTCGTTGAAACCGTTGCAAGGTTTATATACGGCATAAATCAGAAATAAAAATTAAAGGCTTTGTAGTGCACGCGCGGATGTGCGCGCGGCCTAGAGGAAACGGAAGTCGGAGTTTAAACCGCGCGGTAGTAAGTAGCAAGTTAGCGACGCTGCGATTAAACAGTGTCTATAAACACATAAATAGTCCATCAAAAACAAAAATGTTAGAACACGACATGATTTGTCGATTACACCTAAAAAATCTTCTTTCCGTGAGCAATATTTCAAAATATTTCCTGTTTGTGTCTTAATTTTCAAGCAATAATAAAAACTCAGTTTTAGCCTTTGCAGCTTTCCGCCTATGCCCTCTACGTTTAGCTGCTGCAGGTTGTCACAGTAAACTGGCACAGAGAAAATAGAAAGGTACTTTGTACAGGGCCTGCGAAGGAGGAAGGGCTCGGGGGGCCAGGGCCTCCCCCCTTTTTTAAAAAAAAAAAAAAAAAAATACACATTTTCAAATAAAAAGGAATCTTTGATGGAATAAGAATAATCGACTGGCAGACCTCGCCGAAGCATCCAAATTTATGATTGGTCCGTTTCGATCCTATATCATATGGTGATCCTCCGACTATCTTTACAAAACTCAGGGGCACCAAGCGATTATATTCTGTAAAATAACTGTTCGAAGGAGCAAATATTGTTTAGAAATTTCTAAAGCTTGAGAAAAGCTAAAACTTTCTGGCTAACCGTTCCATGTTTTCACACTTTAATATCAAGATATTGCAGAGCATGATAAATGAAATTGTCCCGATCTGCAAGCTTCTGCTGGTAAATCCGCAACCATCGCAGCATAAAAAGGTCAATTTCGGCAACTCGCAGGTTAAAACCATCTGAAACATGGCTCCATTCCGTGACAGTGAATAAAGAAAGGTTCTAAACGCTGCAAGGAGAGAACAGACAAACTTTTGAAGTAAATGAAACACGTGGAAATTATGCTGCTGCTGTGCATGGTTACATCTTTGTTACTAACTCCTTTCTCGTTTGTTAAACTATTTTTAAAAAATGATTAAAGAGTTGTAACTGTATAAAAAAAATATTGAGTCGGCACCAGGTAAACCATTTTTAAAGTCCACAATCCCACCCACCCCTTCCCCCCCCCAACCCCCACAAGTTCACATCGAAAGAGGTGGATCGGCCACCGCACTTTGAAAACTGCTCCGCGGGCCCTGTTCTATACAACTACAGCTCGCCTTGTTGCTAGATCGATGTCTCAAGTTATGTTTCATAAGGGGTTTTGAACAAAAATAGTTGACACTTTAAGGAGAATTAGAAGGGTAATTTTATTTATATAACAGTGACAGCAATTTTGTACAAAGTCATGACAAAATGAACAAATCTCCGCCTTTTTCAATATGAATCTAGTGCGGCATTACTAACATTAGTATATAGTAAGATGTGGGAAATGAGCGAAAACTTAAATGAGGCGAAAGGCATATTTACATGATTTCCCTTACTATTTACACGCACCTGAAAACTGTAATGTACACAAGTGCAGGGAGACAGTGCTATTTACACACACACATGTACAGTAGCTTAGGTTTACAAAAGCGAGATATTTACTCTGCTCTAAACAATCATCGATATCAAACTGCAAAACGACTGCGAGGTATGCCACCACTAGTAAAGTTGGCTTGCAATGTGTTTGATTATCCCTGCTGGATGGCCGTTGGCTCCGGTAGCTCATCGCCCTTAACGTGGATCTTCCTTCCACACCGAGCCTGTCCGCCCGGGGGGGGGGGCGATGAGGGGAGGGGGGATTAGTCGCCGGTCATCCAGCCCTGAGACAGGTTGCACTGGGTTACAGGTTACCAGTGGCAAGTCATTCGAGTTTTCGTCCGACATGACCTGACAGTCTTAAGTTACATTTGAACCTCTCCTCGAGAGAGTTAGCCTTCATAGAGAGGTTTAAACAAGAGTCAATGTAAAGACTGTCTGCCAAAAAAGTGGCCGTCGTAGAGAGGTTGCCGTTGTCGAGAGGTGGCCGTTAGTGGATGTTCGACTGTAAACTGAAATCCTCAACTTGGTCATTAAATTGTCAATTTTAACGGGTTTGTTAAAACGCTGCCCTTCGACATTGGGAAATCGCTTTAGCTAAGTATACATACCTTTAACAGGCAATCAAAAACTGAAAAAGGAAAATAAAATCTTTACTATTCCCACGAATCAACTGCAAAGTATGTGATGGCTCTGTGGTTTAGAAACACATTACAGCATTTACTTGCTAGAGTCATTTTTAACTCAGGACCCGAGGAAGGCCAGACTGTAAGAAGTATGATGGCTGAGGGTAATAACGATAAGTTATGAATTCTGACTTCACAGTACTGGGTTATAGTGATCATGATCTTAAGATACGCGGTTTCTCGCTACGGGTACGAATAGACGAACACGTTTGCCCCGTACAGTTGAACAAAAGGCGAGCATGATTTCCCAGATGTGATAATGGCATCACTATTCACCCGGTAGCCTACCCGTTTTTCCTTAAGAGGCAATTTACCCGAATTTACGGCGACAAGTACAGATAGTTTACCCGTACCCGTACTCAGAAAAGGTGTATAACAATTTTAAATGTCATTCAGCTGCGCTCACAGGTCTCACTTCCACTTCTCCATAACTGTTAACAAACGCCACAACAGATGTAACGCTGGGGGTTATTGGAGTGGCACTGCTTCTACCCTCAAATTGTGTCGGTACAGTTAACGTTTGCGGAGGTAGAGTACTTGAATTCCCACTCTGGCTAAGCCTGGTCGGCTGTAAGCCTGGCCGCCGTCTACAGAAGCTGAAACACGGAAAGAACTTTGCAGCAATAGTTTTCATGGTTCTGCCCATTTCTGGGTTCCGATATCCATAAATGATTGGATTCAAGCCTGAATTACTGTAGTGCAAGGCTTTTACAAAAGCAATCAGTCTTAGTAATCCGGCTGGTTCGGGTAGACGTTCCATTTCGTACGTTGCTAAAGCAGTGACAACGAAAAACGGAAACCATGCAATTAGAAAGACACCTGTTACCAGCGCGACGGTTCCGGTGACACGAATCTCGCGGCGAAAATTTGCGCTCGCGATTTCAGAGCAGACGCGCGTTCTTGAATTCCTGGCTCTATCGTAAATGAGGACGTAGACTCCAAACAGAACAATGAAAGGCCCAGCAAAGCAGATTGAAAAGATGATGGCCGTGTAGCCTTCTTCCCAGTGCTTTAGTTGAACAGGATATAGTCCAGCCACGAAAGCAGAGGCGATCCACGCGACTATTATCATCTTATGGAAAACTCCCACGCGAATTCCACGATGTCGTATCGGCCAGACTATGGCGATGCATCTTTCTATGCTGATGGAAGTGAGCTGAAAGATCGATGCGCAGCCTATGAACTCATCATAAGTTATGTATAGATCATATACAACTGGATGAAGTATAATGTCGAAGTAATGACAGCTGTAGACGTATAGCCAGCCTGGAATGGAGATTACCCCAACTAGGAAGTCGGCCACAGCTAAACCAAGGATGAAAGTGTTCGTCTTGGTTTGAAGGCGAAAGTTTTTCACGAAGGCTGCAATAACCAAAGTGTTTCCAGTGACAATTGCGATAGATATGATGGTGAAGTAAACTAAACTTATCACGATTTCAACAGTTGTAACATGTTTCAAGAAATTCTCGTGTAAAGTTGTCGGAGTCGAAGAAATGTTTGCCACAAGATCACTTCTCAGCGTTGTAGGCATAGTGAAAAAGTTTGAAAAACATTCGTGTCCCAAAATTCAAACGACGTACACGAATGCAGCGGAGCGGTTAAAAAAAATCCATTAACGTTTTCACTGATCTCTCACAGTTATAGTTCTGTTAATTACTTCCTGAATCTGTAAGTTCCCCTTACTGATAGCTTAACTTGAAGCTCAACATCTCCGCGTACTGGTTCATATAAACTGAAGCGGCATAGCTCTTCCCGCAGAAATCATCGTAGTCGCGCGGAATGATTAAAGTTTCAGCGAGGTCGGCAAAAGCCACGCTATTTGAAAGCCGCATTGCATTGTTTACGCCACTTCCCATTGTAAGTCTGGACAGAAATTTAATGCATTTAGCCAATAGTCAAACCGCTTCACAAGCTTTTGTCGCTCCCTAACTACCTCAACAATAAATCACTGCATGCTTCCATAAACTAAAAAGAATTTAGACAATGGCACTTGAAAACATACCACTTTACGGTCTCTTGACTTAAAAGCCAGCTCCAGGCCATGTCTAGATAAGATAAGCATGTTACAGTGACCAAAAAATTTAATTGCGATACATTTTATAATGTCAACAACTAAGTCAAAATTCAATGAGAAAATTGTGAATGGAACATTTATCAGTTAAAGATGTTAAGACAACCAAGTTTAGAAAGGTAGCTAATTCATTCAGCCTCGTTTTCCTTAACAAAAGTCCATCACTCATGTGCATGTGCGAGATGGAGTGCGTGCCAACTGGAACGTCGTCGCGCTATATCGCGTGACCTTCAGCCCACTAACATTTTTCCCTGGGCATTTTTCCTTCTTTGATAAAAGTTTAAGGGGCAATATTGCGTGTTTTAATCTTAGGTTGGAGAGTCAAATATCTTTTAAAGCTCTAAAATATCGTATTATCTAGATTGACTTATTTGTTTGCTGAAGTTCCTGGTTCCATGCCTATGTCGTGATGATTTTGTTCTGAACGATTGCCTTTCTATTGGTGCAAACGACTCCCACGTCAACGGGAGGAATTAGATTTCCAATGATTTCATCCGTGACCGAAACAGTAAACAGCTTCGGCGCATGTATGTAGACTGCAAAACAGTCCGCATTTTTGCGTATTCAAGTACGCGCGAGCAGTCAAACAAAAGGTCTGGAATGAGGCTGAAAACAGAGAGCGAGACTGGGGAGAGAAGCGGGTAATTCGAACGAATATAACGTATGCAAAACGGACAGTCCGTATTTTTAGCGTCTCTCCCCACTGTTTTTCTTCAGCCCTTGCTCTAAGATCTTCCCAGGGAAGAAATCTTACATGGTGCTGGGACTCGTCTTTCACCTAGAAACTGATCCAAGTGTTGGAAAGGTTGTACTAAGCACACAAAACAGAATGCCGCTAGGAAGCTCCGTCCTCTAGCAACTTCCGAGTGCCAGACCCTTCCTTTAGCCATGTTAGCATCCCCTAAGAAAGTTTTACAATTTTACAAATTTTCCATGTGTAGTTTTTTAAAATAATAATAACAATAACAATAATAATAATGATGATGATGATAATGACAATAATAATAACAATAATAACAATATTATTATTATTATTATTATTATTATTATTATTAAATAAAAGAGAATGGCATGGAGGCTTGTCTTCCATCCGTTTGGGAGGTTCTATAGTTGTAAGTGTTCTACGAGGCAGATCCGAACTTCGGTGTGAAAGTTATGTAGTGTCCTACGCAGCTGCAGAATAAGCTGTCGAGCTTTTCGATCTAATTGTCACTTTAGCTTCATCATTCCGCAGGTCTCCTTAAGGGAGCAGTCTGGTAAAATGCCTTGTCAACTTTCGTTTATTTCCACCCTTTTCTCAAAGTGCTCATAACCTAAAAATTTTAACTTTTTAACTGAAGATTTCGATTAATAAGAGAACCTCTGAGAAGATTTTTTTATTTTGAACACAACGTGATTTTCAATTTCTTTGGCATTCCCGTTCCGCTGATATCACGAAATTGACAGGCTCGTATGTGACGTCATGAGACATAGATTCAGGAACTTTCTTAGGGGGCCAGTCGCTGCCCCTGGAGGACTACTCGATAAAGTTTAATACGGGGAGGTTCCGCTCGAGGGTCCAACCCTTACCCATTTACATGCCGTCTTTTACAGAAAACATATAACTAGTTTAGAACTTTGTATCTCACATAATATTGTTGTAAATGCACTGTCTTCAAAATATGAATAAATTAAAAAACCGGAACATTTTCTCTACTTTTTCACAGCCATAAAATGCATCTGTTAGCCATTTTGGGCCTTTTCACTGAACGAAATGACAGATATGATCAGTCCCTTCTGTACCTTTTCCTATATACTTCAACTAGTGAAATCACTGCCCCTTCATATGCCTGAAGCTTGGAGCCTCCTCGTATACACCCTTATAGGGAGTACCTCCCCCGGAAAGTGACTGTATTTTCTCAGAAAATGCAGCTAAATTTAGCTATATCATGATAGATTTTGTAAGCGACAATGTCCAGTTGTTTGAATGACCTTTAACTTTGCTTTGATTTTAATAAAAACGTCTTCAGTTGCTGCCAATCACAAGCCTAGAAACTGAACATCTTTGAGCCCTTTTGTGGAATTGCTGTTCATTAGTGAATCTTACAGCCGTGAACTTCGCGGTGAGTAATAACCTGGAAATTTTTATTTGTAAGTGTCGCTAAGTATGGAGGAGAGCGAGCGCGAAAGAGAATTGATTCGAATGTTAAGTAAGGGTGCCATTGACAAAAAAGGGTACGATGAACGAAGACGACAATATATAGAAGACCTAGCACGCGAAAAGAAAATTGACGCTTATCGGCGTTTGGAGATGATTTTACGATGGATGTGCTGTTGCCCCTGTGCCAACTTATGCTTCAAGGATAAAGGTGATAAATGGAAAAGGCGCTTTTGTGCCTCTTCATTGACTTGTTTGCTTTACGGGGGAATAACCACTCTCCTTTCGTCTGGTGTTTTTCCACCCTTTAGTTCCAGTTGTCTCGGTCTCAAAATAGGCATACCTGTTTCAGTGCTCGGTTGTCTTTGTGCAACGGTATTATGCGCTTGTAAAAGCGAAAAGTGCCCTTGTTCTAGGAAAGAGAAACAATTCGAGACTTCCTCTACTACTTCGTTGGGCCGAGTTGTCAACACCCAGCCGAGGCCAAAGCGCGGCCAGTGTTTTGATGACGATGAAAATTACGCCGAGGATGATTCGCTTCTGTAGCGTACTTCCGCCTGTTGGCTGGAATAGTTTTAATTAGTCGGCGTGGCGGACAGATATGCATCGTCGGTTCTAATTTCTCGAAACAGTCTCTACGATGGCGTCATCGCCATGCAAAGTTATTGGGTCTAGGTTTTTAAAAATTTCTGAGCATATCAACAAAACCATTCTAGACCGTTTTGCAGAGCGGTGTTAATTAGCTTAATTAAATATTTAGTTAGACGACTAAAATGGACTGTGAGACGTTGTTGTATTCGGATAACCGATTTCCAAGTGTACAAGACGCTGAAGTCGTTGTTTTGCGGCTCCCATTTCACGTTTTGAGCCACAGAGAAAGAGGACAACGAACAAAATGAACCTCTAAGAAAACAAGCAGGAAAAAAGGAATGCATTGTAAAGGTTAAGTGTGTGGCTAGGTTAGTCAATGAAAGCTGCCTTTGTTAGTACTAGAGTCGAGTCCGAGAATTCTACATTACTGTTTGAAGTTTGATGTGCATACTCAAAGACCTCGTGACACTGAGTGACTTAATGCATATACAATAGCTTAGTCGTTTAAAATAGAGGTTGCTAACAAAAACTTTCATTATACCTACTAGAGTTACAACTGAATTTCAGCCAAAAATTCACACAAATTTTCTTTAAGTAACGGCATATAGCCAGAACAATTAAAGTTGAAAATAATTCCAAACCATTGCGCCCTAGCCAGTGTGCATTCCTTCGTTAGCATTTATATGATCTTCCATGTTATTTGTTTTGTTTTGTTTGTTTTTTTTGTCATTGCAATATTGTCATTGCAAGATATTTTAAATTCATAGCTAAGATTCGTTGCAGTGATATTAGTTGTCAGTCAAATTTGTCGTATTCGGCTATGTCCTTTCCCTTTGAAAAATTTCGAAATAGGTGCGCCCAGAAATAACCCATTTTTAATTAGGCGTTGAAGGCCTAAATGTAATAAACGGTCCTAAATGTAATAAAGTCCTAAATTTATATACATAATAACATTTTATAGCCAATCAGAGGAGCGAACGATGGTTTTCACACGTGAAAAAACGATACGTCCAATCAGAATCGTCCTAAAAAATGTAATAAATTAAAGTCCAAAATGTAATAAAAATTTGCCCTGTCGAAAAAAATGTAATGAACTCTTAAGCTTTTTTTTGTCGGAGCTACTTTGCCAATTAAACCGGCCATTTTACTAAATTCACTCATTTTCAATAAGCCCCTTGCCTCATATCCTCAAATAAGTTTTTACGCCGCATTTTGCGGGCGTGGGGAATTTTAGTTTTTGAATTTAAAATAAAAAGCCGCGATGCGACTTATTTGTATATAATAAATACGGTACTAAGCGGTATTGCTATGGTATTAAGCTCCACTCTCAAATAAGCGCCGCATTTGGGGCGTTGGGGAGTTAATTAACGCCGCGGCGCTTATTCGAGTAAATACGGTACTAAGCGGTATTGCTATGGTATTAAGCTCCGCTCTCAAATAAGCGCCGCATTTTTGGAGAAAAAAGTTAATAAGCGCCGCGGCGCTAATCCGCGTAAATTCTGTACATTTCCTTATGCACTGTGAATATTAACGTTTACAAATAAATTGCTTGTAAACGGCAAAGTAACAGTATTTTTGTAAAAAAGCAATATTTAAGCAATAGAAAACTTTTTTTCCTGTGTTTGCATAGCCTGATGTAAACACTAGAACACTAGAGGGGTTGGGAGAATTCGAGACAGTTATGCAAACCCTCGACGTCGTCTCAGGTTTGCATAACTGTCAAGATCGAATAAAGAATAAAGTCCTAAATGTAATAACATTTGGCCCTAAATGTAATAAACTCTTAAGATACCAATTACCGTATTTATGCGAATAAGCATCGCTCTAAAACAAGCGCAACAATTGGTAAAGACGGCCCAATTACCATATTTACACGCATAAGGGCCGCCCTCAAATAAGCACCACCATTGAGAGAAACAAGTAAATGAGCGTCGCGGCCCTTATTCGAGGAAAACAGTACTGATATATTTTCTTAATATGCAACGCTGAACTTCTCGTTTATGAATAAATTTCTTCAAAGCGACACATAACAGTTTCTTGTCAATTAAGTATACATATACATTCATTCATTCATTTTATTAGTTAATTCATATTGTTTACAATTATGTAAAACATAACAAGTAACAAAAATGAACTATTGTACCTTTCCACAACGGCCACCTTGGGGACAGGAAGAAAGTGGCCGCGGGGAAAGTAGGGGAAAGTAGGGGAAAAATAGGAAAAATAGGAAAAGTAGGAAAAAAGGAAATGAAAGGAATAGCAACATTAACGAGCTCCACTGTAAGTCTAACTGTAAGAGAATCAAAAGAGCTGTTAATGCTTTTATACAGATATGATGTTGACCATGTGTCGTTACATAAGTTTTTAAGGAAGCCCTACCTTCGGTTGCGTTTGTTGCTGTTGAAAAAAGATGACAACAGTGACAAGGCAGAAGAGGAAATAGAAGAAGAATTGAAGAGAACTTCTGAAATAAGAAGCCTTGCTATAAAGGAATCAACGGAATTGTTTTTGATGTTGGAATGCTTATTCGCAACAGGCTCCTGACTTAATAGTTTTAAAGTTCATAAGAAAATGTACAGAATTTGCGCGAATTAGCGCCGCGGCGCTTATTAACTTTTTCTCCAAAAATGCGGCGCTTATTTGAGAGCGGAGCTTAATACCATAACAATACCGCTTAGTACGTATTTACTCAAATAAGCGCCGCGACGCTAATTAACTCCCCAACGCCCCAAATGCGGCGCTTATTTGAGAGTGGAGCTTAATACCATAGCAATACCGCTTAGTTCCGTATTTACTCGAATAAGCGCCGCGGCGTTAATTAACTCCCCACGCCCCAAATGCGGCGCTTATTTGAGGGCGGGGCTTATTCGAGTAATTACTGTAATTGGCAGCTTAAGAGTTCATTACATTTAGGGCAAATTGTTATTACATTTAGGACTTTAATTTATTACATTTAGGAAAATGTTGTTACATTTAGGACTTTATTACATTTAGGACCGTTTATTACATTTAGGCCTTCAACAGGCGTTACCAAGAAAAAAACTCATTTGTCATTTATAAGCTTTTGTTTTGTTTTTTGTTTTTGTTTTCGTTTTTTTCTGTTTTAGATATAGATATATTTAACAATTATTCCTCGAGCCCGAATGGGCTCTGAGTCAATTGTTTGCTTTTTTATAGTCGTCAGACAATGAATTATGCATTCTTAAAGTTCTAGAAGTAAACAGGGTAAATGCGTTTGCCATATACTAGTTATTGAGGTGTTTTTACCAAAATTAAAGTAAAATGTAGAAGCATAAGTGCTGCATTTATTGTTAAAATGAGCATAATTTACAAAAACTACAACTCCGCACAAAACTGTTGAGACATTACTTTCCATGTGTTTTTCAATTTCTCGCCATGCAACTTTATAGTCGAAGCGGAACAAAGTCGCCCCCCTTCCCACCCCTTGACCAATGTTGTTTTGGCCCGAATGGGCTCTGAGTCAATAGCCTATGAGGCCGAAGGCCGCATGGGCTATTGACTCAGAGGCCATGAGGGCGAGAGGAATCGTTGTTTTAGTAAAATCCAACTAGTTGGTCAAAAATATCGAGGATAAAAAAAATTTAGCTAGTTTAAGCTACACTTTAATCCTTTTTTGCCGCCAAAAAGCCCACACTTTTCGCTGCTAGTGGGCTATAACATATAGTCTAGTAGTAGCTCAACCAATCAGAGCGCAGCATTGATAATAGACCACTAGTTGGATTTTACTTAATTATTATACTATAGCAGACCCTTCCACGGTTTTTTTTCCACTTTTGACATGGACCAGTGAGGGAAAATCCGTCGATACCACTAGGAAGAACGCTTTAAAATTACGGTGAAATTGCCAAGTTTGGAAGCGAATTGTTAAAAACTAACGAAGATATACCTCCCCATATTCGCGAAAATTTACAGACATTTGTATGAGGGTCTGGCTGGATGGGGTTAACTGACAACTGACAAATGGCCAAAATTTTAACTGACAAGTGACATTTGCCTTGGGTTTTACTGACAACTGACAAAGGACCCGATTGTCCTATATTTTGTACGAGACCCGTTTTTGAGGCCTTCTAATAGCATCGTTCCACTCTTTTCGTCAGACAATGTGATCAAATGTGCGCTTATATCGGTAATCTTAGCAGAACGACGCTTAAGTGCCTTCTTTCAAAGCAAAACTGATAAAAATTAAGGTACCATTGCATCAGTTTTCGAATTTAATGCTTAATTCACATTATATGTGCTTTTTTAGCTAAATTTGGGATTTAAAATAAACAAATAAGTTTAATAGTTAATTATTAATAATCATTTAACTGACAACTGACAAAAATCCTAAATTTAACTGACAAATGGCCAATATTTTAACTTACAACTGACATTTGTACCCCCCCCCCCCATCTAGACCCTCTTGTATGGTGGGGGTACAGACTCCCCCCCCTCCCCCCATATAAACGCCTTTAAATTTTCGCAACTTTGCGGAGTCAAATCTTCGCTCACTTACGGTGATGTTACACGGGACTATAGGCAACGACAATTTTTAGCGCAACATAGCGTTGCAGTGTTGGAACAACGTTGCAATCATTCGAAACAATATCGCAACAATGTTGCAACGCTGTGTTGCGCTAAAAATCGTCCTTGCGAATCGTTTCGTGTAACATAACCTTTAAGACGCGTCACTTTCAAATTTGGCAGTGTTACTAATTTTAAGGCGCTCCTATTTCCAGTGGTGTAAACGGATTTTCCCAAACTAGTCCATGTCAAATAAAATAAATAATAATAAATGTCAAAAGTTGAAAAAACCGTAAAAGAGTCCTTCTTCCAATTTTGTAGCCAAAAGGCCAAAAATCAAACATCTCTCCTGAAGGCAACACACAAAAGGGAGCTGAACTTGCAGTTGAGTATGTTTTGTTTTGTTTCGCTTTGGTTTGTGTTTTCGTATCCCAGTACCGGTATGAAAGGTTTTAGCTAACGGAATTAGACTGCACGAGGCACAATTATTAATTGAAGAATTATTTCCGAAAAAAAAGCATAAATTTTAGATTTAGGTAAATATTAAGCTGTAACAAAATACCATTTTGGAAACTGGGCAAATAAACTCTGCAAGCCATCTATAATTACGTGCATTGTTTTGCCCTACTGCTTATTGCAACATCTTTAAGTGCTGCAATTTAGTGTGTCAGTACGTAAATAATGCTGTTTTAACAATTGATCTAAAAACAAGCTTTTTTCGTTTTATTTCCTCGTATTGGACGTTTTGAAAAACTGTCCTGTGTAAGGTTACGTTGTTTTTCCTTGAATGAATGTAACCCTACTCTTTCCCAAATAATTGATATAAATTGGGCCGTATGAAGTCGTACCGATTGTAGTGACTCATAACGGTTTGCGTGTTCAAAGAACGGAGTTAAATCGTCCGAACGTACACTTTCTGAAAGAGTACGAAATTTGTTTTGTAAATATAAACATATAATTTTAGATCTAGCAGCAAAGAAGATGTGAACTGAAGATGAGAAAAGAAATTCCGCAATTATAGTTGCGATTCATGTTTTCGTGTTTTTTCGTGGTCTCCGGGCGATCCAACACTACCTTCAGTCAGCGGTGCTATGCTGGCGGGCGCAATGCGCCTTCCGCGGGACTCCAGAACACGTCTGCACGGCCCAAGAAGCCTGACAAACGTTTTTCTCATTTCAGCATCACGAAAAGCGTACACCATTGGATTCATTCCGCTATTACAATACTGCAACCACTTTGCAAATATAAGAAAGTTAGTCATTTTTTCGAAGGGCACGCAATAGGTGCAAAAAACCGCGATGGTGCTGATTGTGAAAAACGATAACCATGAGACTAAGAACATTGCAGTGACGAACGCAAGAGTGAACGCAATTCGTCTTTGTTTATTTATATTTGTACGTATTTGGGTACTTTCCTCTGAGTCTTGAAGAGTGCAGTTTGGAAGATTTGCAATAAGCTTGCGAGCCACTTTGAAGATAGAGTAATTCACTATGCAGATTAATATCCCAGGCCCAACGTAGCCCACAAGCAACAAGAAAGGAGTGTAAATCCTATGAGGATTGCTACTTGCTGAGTTATCCAGCGCAGGTCTAACGGCTGCTATGGCGAACGCTGAGATCCATACCCCGCAAATTATCAGCGAGTAATGCAACGTAGAGAGCGTCTCGTAGAAAAACGGCCGCGAAATTGAGAGCCAGCGTTCCAGGCTTACGGTGGTCAGATGAAAAATTGAAGCCAGCGCGCTGAAGATATCGAAAGACAGGAAAATTGTGTAAAGTGTTCCCTTCTGAATGTTTTGTAAACTGATGTACATCCACAAAGGCAGTGAAACGCAGCCTACAAGCAGATCCGAGATCGCCAAGCTAACAAGGAACGTGTAGGTCCCTGTACGAATTCTATGGTTCGAGAAATATGCCGCGACTACAAACGAATTACCAGTTATTATAACAAACATGAGGGCCACACATAACGCTATCTGAATGGCAGTACTCGTAGATATTTCAACTGTTTGGGATAGTTCCGTTTCTTTTGTATCCTTCTCCATCCGTCGTTTTCAAGTCACCGGAGCAAGGATGTTTAGAGCGGTATCAGTCAACTGTTTTATCACTATAACTTCAAATGACAATTTTGTCGTCTCGTTAGGCTTTGAACTCTGATTGCGTAAGTGATACGAAGCCTGATTCTAAAAATACTTTGTCATTGGTGACTTAAAGATGACACAAAAGTCGTAGAAAATAAACAGCTTGATAATAAAAGAGATCCAATCAGTTTTAGCTCTTCTCACAGCAACAAAAGGAGCAACGCTTATCTTCAAAGAGAGGAAGTAACGCTCACCTTTCGACATTACGATTCTCACGTTTTTCCCGAAGAAATTAAAAAGTAATAAGCGATCCGCGTATTGTCCATTTATAAGGTGTCTAAGGTGCTCCACTCATCGTGGTAATGCTAAAAAGCAATAGAAAAAATTAACTTCGAGGTTTTGTTCTCGCCACAAGACAAACGGAAACCTATTTAGTTGAAAGGATATGGTTTATCCTCGTTTTAATCAGTTCATAGTTCTCTTGCATACACAGCTGTCAAAAGCTCGCTCGAGGCTATATAAATGCAAATGATTTTGAGAAGGTCCTTTATTGTTCACTAATAACACTTGATTATAGTTTTACTGCCATTAATTCCAAAATTATAAAGATTACTAAATTTGATTTTCTTGAAAAAAGAGCCAGGAAATTTAGAACTAGTGTTTCTAGCGAGTTTAAACTTGCTCATTGGTCAAACTGAGCTTCATCATCAAATTCAAATAAATGAGTCTAAAAGTAAATTGTCTCCAGAATAAAAAACACAGCTACCAATTCGGATACTAATGCAAGTTTACTTTGTTAGCTGGCAAATTTAAATTTCTGTTTCTTGTGATTACTAAAGAAAGAAAACGAAATTTCTGTTTCTTTTTGAGATCCTGAGTAAAGTTTTTACCCAATTTCTACCCATTCTGCGTCAGTTAGGAAAGCATTTTCCCTTGAATTTAACATCCATTCATTAATCATATTGACAAAGAAATTAAAGACCAACCCAAAGAGAATATATTTTAAAAGGTTCGGCATGTCAAAAAGATGATAAAGATGTCAAAACGTTAAGGTATTAAAAAATCAAATTTCTTTGATGAATACAAAACTGAAGTTTTGTTTTTAATTTCTCCTTTAGTAAGCTAACTAACAAATCAATTAAGGAAATAAAAGAGCAGATAAAAACAATATCTGATATTTTTGAACAGCAGATTTAAAAGGTTTTATTTTCGTTAAACCCTTTCGTTCGTCGTTCAATAGCTAGAAACGCCTGGGAACTTTTTTGTTAGTGTGTGATGAAGTAAGACAAAACATTGTCGGGTTTAATTGTTTTATCACGATTTGAGCGATTTATGTCAATCACCATTAAGTCGGTTTTTCGGCCACAATTGAAAACTATCTGAGCTAAAAGTAAACTCAAATTGCAATTGAAAAATTACTCTAAAAACCAAAGCACGGAGTATTGACAAAACAGGATAAACATTGACAAAAAAGCCATTTTTCCTTTCCTTGACCAATTTAAAATGCCAAATTGGCTTAAAGTTTAATCTATTCTAAAAGTCATTACTGAACAATCATGGAACCATTAATAGAAGCTAGTCACGTCCTCTTTTAAATAAAGCAGCTCCAATTCAAAAGAAAGCAATCGCGAAAGTGATACACAAACCCCTGACGAAGGTTTGTGTTTCAAATCCAAATAACGGGTAAAACAAAATAAAATAATAATAATGTTAATAATAATAATAATAATAATAATAATAACAATATAATGATAATAGTAATAATAATACTAATAATAATGATGATGATAATAATGATGATGATGATGTTGATGATGATAACAGTTTGTATTTTTGAAGTTTTGTATTTTTTTGCTTTTAATTTCGCGAATCCGAAAAAAAAGATGAGAAGCAAATTTATTGGTTTGTTGACATGAAGTTTTCCTGTTCAATTTTAAACTCGAATAGAAACTGTCCAGGATTTTTTGAAGTTGTTCACTGTTTTGTTTTGTATTGAGGAGGTAGTCTGCGAGCAAGCTCTCCTATTTGGGCGAGCGAAGCAAGCCTCGCGAGAACACGCGAGCGAGGGGCCGAGGAAAGGAGAACTAAACAAGGTGCTTTGCACAAACGAATACAACTTATCAAGGGCTTTCATTTTCCTTCCACAAGAACTAAAAACTCGGTGCGAGTTATCCTCGGCTCGCAATATTCTCTTTGCGAGAACTAAATCAAACGAGCCCCCTCGTCTGCTTTGAGGGCTGAAGCAAGTTCTCGGTACTAATCTGATCCCCCTGAGAACCAAACTTGTCACGCAAACGAAGGTGGTGCCAGCTTGGCCTGTTATCAATTAACTTTGTTTTCCGGAACGTCATTTTTCAGCCAATGGTATTTCCCTTCGTCTGGGCGAAGTACGAATGAAAATTTATGAGAGGTCGTTGCAAGCTCTCCTTTCCTCTGCCCCTCGCGGCGAATTGTAATATTAGATGACACTCTTCTTCGTCGTTTGGACAGACTTCGTTATTACCGACAGGAGCATACAGTGGAACCCCTTTAATACGACCACTGTTGGGCCATAAAATCCTGGTCGTAATAACGAGGTGGTCGCATTAACGGGCTCTTCAAAATAATAAAATGACTCAATGGTTGGTTATGTTTGGTTTGAAAGAATATGGCCGTAATAACGAGGTGGTCTTATAAACGGAGTGGTCGTAAGGCGGGGTTCCACTGTATTGTCCTTCTTACACGTAGGGTACTCCGTGCTGATCTTCATGTTAGTCTGTGTCACGTTGTTTTCACAGACTAGTACACAGTCAAACTTATATTAAGCGTACCTGCATTAAGCAGTTACCCAGGTTACCCTCTTACCCAGACCAGAAAATCATCCCCCTTGATTGTGGTAAAACTGTCCTCTGTCAAGTGGTCACCTGTAAATATCGCCTGGTATGGGTATGAAATCAATGTTCCCCATCTCCCTGAAAAAAAATCATCAGTTCCCGGGTTATAAAAGGTATCTTTTTTTATGAATATTGATCATGTTCTCTTGGTCCTCACTAAAATCCCTGCGAGGCCACTTGTGCTAGTCAAAAGTTTCATTAGGCCATTTCGAAAAATACCAAAATACAGTGGAACCCCGCCTTACGACCACCCCGTTTATAAGACCACCTCGTTATTACGGCCATATTCTTTCAAACCAAACGTAACAACCATTGAGTCATTTTATTATTTTGAAGACCCCGTTAATGCGACCACCTCGTTATCACGACCAGGATTTTATAGCCCAACAGTGGTTGTATTAACGGGGTTCCACTGTACTTTCAAATTGCCGTTTAGAAAATTATGGTATTTTCGAAGTGGCCTATCTGAGTTCCTTGTCCCCAGCCCTCTCTCTTTGGATCGCAGGAGAGAAGCGCGACCAAAGGGAGCGCGAGGGGTGAAGGGAATGAGGATAACCGACGACTGCGGACGAGTCAGATCCCTTGTCACACTAACGTAAGTTCTTCAGGGATCTACTTGTGCTGGTCCGCAGCAGGAGAAGGTAATTGTTCTGAAGACATAACAGGCTCGAATCTCCAAAGCCGTTCTCGATCTTGATCTCGCATTTGTATTCACATATGTCAAAATCAAATCTGTCGCTGATAAATTGGACTGCGAAAACGTGGTGAAAGCCATCCGTCTACATTATCACCCATGGAAAATTTTTCCTACTATACAACCTTGGCCAGACCAACAACCAGGCCTCGGTTGTTCAAAGTGGATAGCACTATCATTGCACCGGATAATTAAATCTCTATCCAGTGGATGGTACAATTATTTTCCCTAATTCCTCATCCGCTGAATAGTGATTTTATCCGGTGGATAGCGCTATCCAACGTTTAAACAACTGGGGCCAAGGCTTTTAAAAAACCGGTGAGATCATGCTGGCAATGTTTTAAGACCTCGTCTCAGTGTAGATGATCGCGTCATTGCGCGGTGACGTTAAGCCGTTGGCCTTGTCTCCTTCATCCTTCTTTCATTAGTCAAATCGAAGGGGACTTAAAAGAACCCACAATACTGTTCGAAAGGAGCAGGGGAAGTTTCCCCGGTGGTGTGGTTTACCTTTCACGCAACATTCATATCATAGGCTATGGGTGGGTTACAGTAAGCTCATAAATGGACTCATAGCAGCTGCCACTGGCGCCCTTATATGCCGACTTTCGAGCTTACTGTTTAGGTGTTAATATGTAGTGTAAAGAGGGCGCGTCATGTTGTCCTCTAATCCACGACATAACATGACATTACAGCTATACGAGGCAAACATCGTTGCGAAATATTTGCGCGCCAGTTCCAGTATCAGTAAAATTGTGTGTGTAGACGTCTTGTCACAAAAAATCGTGAGTTGACAATGGCTTCTAAGTTCCCTCGACCAATAACATGTCAGCCCTCCGTGGTTCACAGGGAGATGTACCTGCCTTGTCGCCCGGTGGAATCAATTGAGGTGCGAAAACAGAGACTGCTGACCTTTATGGGACAACACATGCATCTTCCCATCAGACTAGAAGTGCCGCTTTCAGGCAACAAGAACGAAAAGTGTAAAGAGGTTTAGTACTTTTAATGTCTCCCTCTGGAGTAAATTGTTTCCCAGCAACATTTTAACTTTAGTTCCTAGCTGTTCGAAGTAGAAAAGACTGGCACTTCGCATACCTAATCAAGAGACTTTCATGCTCTAAAGTTCCCTCGGCGTATTTTAACATTATCACAAGAGGCTGAAGTTTGATTATACGGCACGTTTTTACTATGAGAGTAACAACTCCTCTCAAATCAATTGGAAACTCCCAGTCTCGTGATTCCACGGTATGTTCAGGATAAGTCTGAAAGTAATCGCTGTCATTATATTATTCCTGATTATTGGCTACAATCAAACTCCTTCAGTCTATTAATGTCACGTTCGAATTTTAAGTAAACACAATCGTCCTTTAAATAAATAGTTTTTAAAGCAAAGGGGGAAAAAACGTACAAATACTTGATGCGCACTAAAGCAATTTATTTTTAATTAACATATTACCACAAAGAGACTTTGACGACGTAATAACGTAGCCGATATGAGAAAATGAAGTTCCGCACGTAGATTTAACTAATGCCACAAAGATAACTTTGGTCCTGAGCTTTTTTAAATCTGCCCCGTTTTCGTGAACTCGAACCGCAAATAACTCGCGACCGTCGGGGGGTTGTATACTTCCCTATAAAAGTGGCGGGGGTGCTCGTCGTACCTTTTAGGGGTTTAAATTTGTGGAGTGGTACCGCTTAGGGAGCTAAAACCTAAAATGACCGCTGCCAGGATGAACATTGATAACAATAAAGATTTATGATAATACTTTCAAAACGTCCTTAAGGTGACTCGACCCAGTTTTTTTGGGGGGGTACCATCCTACTTTGAAGCTCTCTGGTATCCCCACCTTTACTTTTATCGTAAGTCTAACACATAGAATGGATAACATATAGATTAATCTACAATATAACATAAAATTTTTGGCGATCGGAGTAAATGTCACGTGGTTATAATGCCACGCCCCTTTGAGGTCTGAGTCGAAAATCTGCTGTTGCCGGCATTTTTTTGTGAAAATCTCTCGGCTACACATAGTGCACATTAGTGCCTTGCGCTGAACAGAGTTTCACCAAAATCGCAAAGACCCAATTCGAGAAATTCAGCGGTTTCCAAATTTAGGTCATAATTTATGCGAAAATGATAAGCAAACTTTACACGATTATATCTAATAGTCTATGAGACCGATCACTTTATTTTGGGGATCGTTATAACAGTTGGGTCCTTGCAAGTCAGCAAAAAGCTTTAGGGCCTTCTAAATGCGCGCGATTTCGAGCAAAGCAAACATATAGAAATTATAGTTTTTGCTATTTATTGACGTTTGTCAGCGTTGAAGAGTCCTTCTCACGAAAAAAGCATTTTCTTAAAAAATCGTAGTTTTTTTTCCTTCAAATTTTTTCAGGGCCACAATTGATTAACTAACTACCCGGACTGTGAATTTCATGGTCATTGAAAAACTGTGACATTATCTTCTATAAGCCCAAACTTGAGTAAACATTGAAGATTTTTAGCGTTTTGGCTGAGTTTGTGCTTTGGGAGTTGTCTATTGTTTCTAGTCTGTCATTATACAGCATTCTTGTTCAGCACGCGTGCAATGACCACGCTTGGCTGACTTGCGAATGCTCACCGATATATGATAATTCTACCTCGCATTTGCATACAATCGGAGGTCACGTGAGATAGCAAGTATGCGATATCCGAGCTCAGTGCAAGTTTGGTGTCCGAGCGAGTCAGTTGTGTAACTTATAGAGAGAGGTTCTTTAAGGATTTTTACTGCGTTTCCGACGTTATTCTGACCGACCGTTCCTGATGTCGCAGATAGGCGAACACGAGGCGCTCAACGACGACCCGCTATCGGATGAAGTTCTGGACGAAGGAGAATTACTCAAAGACTCTGGAGAAGATAAAAATATGGCGGCCGAGCCTGGCACAAGCGGCACGAACGTTTCGCTGTCCGCTGCCGACTTTAAGAGTCTTTCCCTGGCAATATTAAATGTGTCAAAAAGACTCGATAAATTGGAGGAAAAGCCTTCTACGACGGGTAAAGGCCCTGGCAAACGACTGAGCCAGGAACATCAAAATGCCGTTCCCGCCAAAAAGCCCGCCAAAGAATGCTCGAGCTCCTCAAGCGAGCAAAATACCTCGGATAACGAGGATGTTCAAACACTCATGGCTAAAGTTGCCGGCGATGTTGACGATCTCGGTAACGGGGACGAAGATGAAACGCTTACAGAACTACAGAAAGAGTACGAGTCTGAAGACTCTATCGGGAAGAACATTCAAAACCCACAATTTGCCAAGCTCCTTGGCAAGATGTTTCGCAATCGTTTGCCAGACAAAGTCCTTAAAGAGAAGCTCGAGCGACAAGCTCGACCGGAAAACTGTGAAACTGTAAAACCCACACGTGTCAACCCGGGTATTTGGCGAAAACTTCGTGAGCACACGCAAAAGAGGGACTTACAATTGTACAAGATGCAGCAAGCCCTCGTTAAGGGTATAATCCCGGTCGCCCGGTTGACAGACCTGACCATGTCAGAAAAGCATGGGTTAGACAAAGAGGGCATGCAGCTGATCAAGCAATTTGGGCTTGATGCCCTGTCACTACTAACGCATGTAAACTATGAACTAAACATGCAGAGAAAACAGCTCATGAAACCTGACATTGGCAAAGACTACGCCGCCCTTTGCTCACCTCATGTACCATTCACAGACCTGCTTTTTGGTGACGACCTCCAAAAGCAGTTGAAGGACATAGGTGATGTAGACAAGATTGGTGCAAAGGTACAAAACCATAGAGGATCTCAGAGGAATCCTTCTGGTTACAACAGCAGCAATACAAACAGACACACGTTTTCTCAACGGAATCCAAAAAACTCCAAAGGCCAAACATTCAGACCTTGGCGTCACAAGGAGACTCCAAAGATGAACCCAAACAAGAGGTCATCACAGTAGCTCATGGTCTTAACACGGTAAATTCTGCTGTACAAAATTTTGTTGCTGGTAACATAGCTCATCACTTTTCTGAGTGGAGGTCTATTACCTCAGACCCAAGCATCCTTGAGATTGTATCGGGCTATCTTATCGATTTTGAACGGTTACCATACCAAACATATGTGCCCTATATAAAATTTTCTAAAGGTGATGAACACATTATTGCAGTAGAGGTTCAAAAACTTCTTGATAAAGGTGTTTTGAGCAAGACAACACACTGCAATGGAGAATTCATCTCTTCGGTCTTTACAAGACCAAAGAAAGATGGGTCTCATAGACTCATCCTGAACCTCAAAAATCTTAATGAGTTTGTTACTTACCAGCATTTTAAAATGGAATCCCTCCAATCAGCTGCCCAACTACTTAAAAAGACTATTGGATGGCAGTTCTAGACCTCAAGGATGCTTATTACTCTGTACCGATAAATCTCCAGCACAGAAAATACCTAAGGTTTGAATTTAACGGAACCCTTTACGAGTTTACTTGCTTGCCAAATGGCCTGGCCTCGGCCCCTAGGGTCTTCACCAAGCTTATGAAACCAGTCTATGCAACACTGAGATCCAAAGGATACCTAATAGTGGGTTACATAGACGACATATTACTAATGGCAGAAACACAAGAGCAGCTATCGCAAGTAGTTGCTGACACGGTTGCCCTACTCAGGGCACTTGGCTTCACAATCCATGATACTAAATCTGTCACGACACCCTCTCAGATAGCCAAATTTTTGGGATTCATATTGAATTCTAAGAATATGACCATCTCCATGATCCCGGAGAAGGCTGATATTGTACGATCTAAGTGTCACAGCCTTGTGCAGATACAAGGTCCTGCCCAAATCCGAGAGGTGGCCTCAGTTGTGGGTTTGATGGTATCCTCATTTGCAGGAGTGTACTATGGGCCATTATTTTATAGATCTCTAGAGAATATCAAAACTGATGCACTGCAAGCAAATGGCTGGGATCTTGAGGGGAAAGTAACACTCTCACCCCTGTGCAAACAAGACCTCCTTTGGTGGATAAACAATGTTGACCAATATCCACAAACCATCACACCACAAATCCCACATCTAACCCTGACAACCGACAGCTCACTTACGGGCTGGGGGGCAGTGATAGAGGGTACCTCAAGTGTTGCAAGTGGTAGATGGTCATTCCAGGAATCCCAACTTCATATTAATTTCCTAGAGTTAAAAGCCATCCTTCTGGGACTGCAGTCACTCTGCAGTCACCTTACAAATTGTACCATCAAAGTGCTTTGTGACAATACAACTGCAGTCTCGTACATCCGCAGTATGGGTGGCTCTAAATCTAGGAACTGCAATGATATAACTAGGGAAATTCTCATCTGGTGCATGCAGAGGCAGCTGGCACTATCAATCTCCCACATACCAGGGAAATTAAATACAGAAGCTGATAGAGCTAGCAGAGAATAACACAACAGTAATACAGAATGGTCCCTAGACCCTACCATTTTTGATGAACTTAAACTTAAATGGGGCGATCCTGAAATAGACATGTTTGCATCAAGGCTGAACCACAAAGTGTCTCCATATGTAGCCTGGAAACCAGATCCAGGTGCAGCAGCTACTGATGCATTCACTCTGGATTGGTCCAGATATAAACTTATCTATTGTTTTCCTCCTTTCAGCCTCATAGGCAAAGTCCTTCAGTTTATCCAAGAAAGCAGAACAACAGCCATACTTGTGTACCCATACTGGCCAACCCAGGTGTGGTACCCACAGCTCCTACAGTTGATGAAATCTCCTCCAATATCAATCAAAATGCACCGCAAAACCATTACTCTCCCACATCAACCAGAACAAGTCCACCCATTATATCCCAAACTTCAACTTCATGGATGTCTCTTATCAGGGCATCCTTAGCTGCTCAAGGCATAACGGGGGAACCTCAGGACATCATCGTGGCGTCATGGCGAGATGGAACCCGCAAACAATACTGCACATATATTACAGCCTGGTTAAAGTACTGCTCTGATTGTAACATCAGCCAAGTCAATCCCAAGCTGCAGCAAGTCCTTGATTTCCTTACTCTGCAATCTAAACGTGTGGGATATAGTGCGGTTGCAACTGCCCGAAGTGCACTGTCAAGTTTCATTAAATTTGATGGTGTAAAAGTGGGTGACCACCCCTTGGTGTCAAGGTTTATGACTGGCCTGTTTAATCAAAAGCCAGCCCTTCCACGCTACTCTGAGACTTGGGACCCCCAAATAGTGCTTAACCACCTTAAGACATTTCCAGCTATTGATGATATGTCACTGAAACAGCTTACCCTGAAACTGGTCATGCTTATGGCCCTATTGTCTGCACAGAGAGTTCAGACTTTACAGTCCTTGTCCTTGGAAGAAATGAGTACCCTACCTGGAAAGTATGTCTTTCGCATCTCTTCTGTTTTAAAACAAACAACTGCCAAAGGGGGCCAGAACAGACATTTACTACCTGTTACTTTTCATAGTTACCCCCTGGACAAACGACTGTGTATCGTGGAGCTACTTTCAGCTTATGTTAAAAGAACCGCTCCTCTCAGGAAAGAGACAAAGCAGTTGCTTATTTGCCATGCTGAGCCTCATGGACCAGCTTCAAGGGACACAATATCACGTTGGATAAAACAAACCATGAAGGATGCGGGAATTGATACTACGGTTTTCAAACCCCACAACACTAGGGGTGCCTCTACTTCAGCAGCTAAAGCATTGAATGTTCCTGTTCAGGTTATAATGAACACTGCTGGATGGCGTTCTGATTCTACTTTTGCCAAATTCTATGATCGCCCTGTCCTCACTGCAAACAACTTTGCTGCAGCAATTCTGGGAGATAAGAAATAATATATTGTAATCTCAAATAACTCCCTTCTTTGAGCCAGTGCATATTCAAACAATGCCTTATATCGATATCAGTTGTTGTTGCAGTATTTACTACTATCATGTAAGAGGCCTATTACAAATACACATTATGTTGTGTTCATTCACCACTTTTTGTTGTCTGAGTTTTCTGTGGCTTTGAGCTTTAAAGTCTCACGTACCCTCCGATTGTATGCAAATGCGAGGTAGAATTGTTAATTAAACGACACTTACCTGTAAGTCGTGGTTTGATTGAGATTCTACCGTAGCATTTGCAGGAATGAGGAGGTCACATCCCGCCCTAACCCATCCCTATTGTTGGTGACCTCTCATTCCTGCTTTGTCAAAGCCCCACAAAACCGCTTTTAAGACTGAGCTCGGATATCGCATACTTGCTATCTCACGTGACCTCCTCATTCCTGCAAATGCTACGGTAGAATCTCAATCAAACCACGACTTACAGGTAAGTCTCGTTTAATTAACAATTTAGTATGAGAAAATAGAAGGGATTCCCGTCACGAGTTATTTTAATTATTGGCTTGCATTAAACCTATGAAAAAATGATATTTTTTAATAGTAAGTAGATTTAGTGTGTAGCACTTCTTGATTTTTTTTGCAAAGGCACAAGAGGCACGAGAATTGATTGAGAATTGTGAGTTAAACCTCTATGTATCACACGATGGCCTGTCTCACTGTACCAAAATTATCATATCTCGGTGAGCATTTGCAAGTCAGCCAAGCGTGGTCATTGCACGCGTGCTGAACAAGAATGCTGTATAATGACAGACTAGAAACAATAGACAATTCCCAAAGCACAAACTCAGCCAAAACGCTAAAAATCTTCAATGTTTACTCAAGTTTGGGCTTATAGAAGATAATGTCACAGTTTTTCAATGACCATGAAATTCACAGTCCGGGTAGTTAGTTAATCAATTGTGGCCCTGAAAAAATTTGAAGGAAAAAAAACTACGATTTTTTAAGAAAATGCTTTTTTCGTGAGAAGGACTCTTCAACGCTGACAAACGTCAATAAATAGCAAAAACTATAATTTCTATATGTTTGCTTTGCTCGAAATCGCGCGCATTTACAAGGCCCTAAAGCTTTTTGCTGACTTGCAAGGACCCATCTGTTATAACGATCCCCAAAATAAAGTGATCGGTCTCATAGACTATTAGATATAATCGTGTAAAGTTTGCTTATCATTTTCGCATAAATTATGACCTAAATTTGGAAACCGCTGAATTTCTCGAATTGGGTCTTTGCGATTTTGGTGAAACTCTGTTCAGCGCAAGGCACTAATGCGCACTATGTGTAGCCGAGAGATTTTCACAAAAAAATGCCGGCAACAGCAGATTTTCGACTCAGACCTCAAAGGGGCGTGGCATTATAACCACGTGACATTTACTCCGATCGCCAAAAATTTTATGTTATATTGTAGATTAATCTATATGTTATCCATTCTATGTGTTAGATTTACGATAAAAGTAAAGGTGGGGATACCAGAGAGCTTCAAAGTAGGATGGTACCCCCCCAAAAAAACTGGGTCGAGTCACCTTAAATAGAAAGTGTTCGAAAGTTATCTTTATTAGTATTAAAATTTGCAGTGCCAGTTATATAATTTCCTGTTGTGGAATTGGTACCTCTTAGAGATGGAAATGAATTTGGGACACGCCTATAAAACAAGATTCTGGTACCTTTTGGGGGTGTTCTCGAAATTGTCCGACGGGCACTTCCGTCACTTCTATAGCGAAGTATCCCCCCAGGTCCCTCTAGGATACTCCCTATAACTGAGTATATGGGCATGTCAGCTAATGAAAACAGCAAACACAAAAGCGGCTTGAGTTTGTAGATATTTCGGAGGGTCACAAGCCGTCTATCTACAGGGGCATGCTCTTCCGAAAGGGGTACCCTTTTAATGCTAGGGGTATTGACGGCTGATTTATTTCACAATTTTATCGGTTTATACTCACAAAGAGAAAGAGAGCTTATAGAAACGTTCAGTTTTCAACGAGAGTACTCCTTTTGTCCCCGCTTTTTTACCACAAGAAGGGGAATTATTCTCTACGAAAGAATTGTTATGTGAAAAGGGTACCTTTTTGGTCAAAAGTAGTGTAAAAGATCTCAAGCCAATGCACCCTCGTACAAAACTTTGTTCATCCGCCGAGTTTGAAACAGGTGCATCGGTTTATTCAAACAATCAGCCTATCGATGACGATAATCTTGACCATACAAAGATTAATAGCGGGGTTAATTTATATTTGATGATGTAAGGTGAGTGATAAGGAAATGTCCCCTTTTGTTATGTTTCCATCACCCACAATCAATTACAGGCGACATCCTTCAATCAGTATAAGATATAGTAAAATTAGGCCCGAAAGTTAATCAACCTGACCTTTGATGAATTTTTTTTACTGGGTTAACTGACTGGATGCAAGATCACGAGGTTTCAAAAGTCCTCTAACTACGGTTTCAAACCATTTTTACCATTATTATTTATTACTTTAATTTTTCAGTTTTAAAGGAATTAAAATAACCTCATATTCGCAAATACACACATTTTAACTCAGTTAAAACCATTAATTTTATCGCTGGTCATGCAGTGAAACTCATTTTGTGACACAATACTGAGATCAAGCAAAACAAAATGAAAGAAACAGATGGGCCGCGCAGTAGATATAAATTTTCCTTTTTTTCTAAGGTTTAAATCGGGATACTGCAATCAATCTGACCTTCTTTCCCGTAGCTACATTTTGATTCCGTGCATTGTTCGTTGAAAATGATCTGTAAGTTATCAGGAAATTTAAAATGACAAAGATGGCGGAAATGATATCAAAATAAACAATCGTTACGTATAGCTATATAATATTGTTTGTATTATCACTGCCTGCTTTTAAGTTATAGGCGTCGATTATCTACAGTCACAATATCTGAGATTAAAAGATGTCGTTCTCTGCAGGCAACACAACAACGCCAAATAACGCAACTCAAGACAGGACGACCGATCTGATGGCTTTCCCTGGCTTAATCTTTGTTCTTTCCATCATTCTTATTTTTGTCATATTATTTGGCAATTCCCTTGTTATTGCATCTTACAAGACTAACAGAAGACTAAGAACTCGAACAAATGCATTTTTGGTTAGTTTAGCCTTCTCGGATTTTCTGGTTGGCAGCATATCTTTACCCATGTGGATTTACGGGATCATGTCGCAGCAGAACGTTTCTATCACTTTTCAAGCCTTTTTTAAAAGTTTTGACGTCTTTTCTGCTCTCGCGTCTATTTTTCATCTGACGGCGATAAGCGCGGAAAGGTACATCGCAGTTTCTCGGCCGTTTTATTATCAACGCTTGCCGTTGTCCTTTCATCGATCGTTGATTGCGTCAGCCTGGTGCTTCGCTGGCTTTTTAGCCTCGTTGTCTTACATTACACTCATTAAAAACAGCTGGAGTAGTCAAGTCTACGCCGTGGTGTTGTCCATCTGCGGCTTGGCTGTTCCCACCGCCATCATTGCGCGCATGTACATTGGGGTGTTCTTAGTCGCGCGATCTCTGTTGCAACGTAACCCAGCTCACGCTGCGAGAAGGCAAAGCGTAACAAGCCTGAAGCGATACTATCAAGGGGAGAGGAAAGTCGCAATCACTGTTGGCCTCATAACATGTTTGTTTCTCGCTGCATGGCTGCCTTTCTTTGTTGTGTCAGTGACAGCTGCTTTTTGCATTCACTGCCTCCCTTCTTCCCATGACTCCCTCTACAAAATCATCGTCATAGTGAAGAGTGTGCATTACATGAACAGCGCTGTCAACCCACTCGTGTATGCGCGCCGTGATCCCGAAATGAGACAAACATTTTTAAGGCTGCTCGGATTACACAGCGGTATTTGCCGATTATATGGCGAAAAGAATCGTCCAGAAGGACTCCCCATGCGAGTGAGGTGACTTTTCTGCCCGCGTAGTAGCCCTGTGCTTGAGTGACAATTAAGCTGATGCAAGCAGTATAGATGGCAGTATAGTATTGAAACGCCATAGGGGAAGCTGGAGTCCTTTGAAATCACACTTGCTGTTATGTTTAGGGTTAGCCAGGGACATTGATTGGGGTCATTCATCAATTGTTTCGAGTTTCTTTAGATAACTAAACGACTTGTTTTTGCATGAGAGTTTCGTAGCGCTCCAGTGGAAGAACGTGAAAGCCGTTAAGATTCGTGAATTTTGTATATTCACTTTCACAAGATTGATATACGTTATAAAGTAAATGAGAGCAAAAGTTCAAACATTTTAATTCGATGATGGTAGTAAGCCGTCTAGAGGCGCTTGCGAAAAACACGAACATAACTTATTTAATAAAGAATCCGAAAACCTATTAAAATCAAAGAATATAGAAGACACCTTGATTAAGAAGAAATCACGTTCAAGCAGGGGCACCCAACGTCAATTTTCGGAAAATATCAGTTCGGAAGACGATTTGAGATCTGGTAAGAATTTTCGGAACATTTGTTGTAAAATTTCTTGCTTGCCTGCCTCTCCTAGGATTTTCGAAACATCTAAAAAATGGTATAATTGCCCATTTTTACCGGATTTTTACCCTAAAAAGGTCACCTAGAATTTTCGGGAGCCTTTTTTCTGGCAGAAATTTTCGAAAAGGTAAGTTTTGATCCCTATAATTTTCGGATCACTAGACTCCGAACATACGAAAAAGTTTTAGGGGATAAAAACTGAATATGCCTATATCTACCGTTTAAATACTATTATACGTTTAACAATGCTATGTTTAAGTGGTTTTGAACTATATTCTCGTTGGGTGCCCCTGTTCAAGTTCAAGTTTAAGTTCATTTATTCACACTTATTCAATTACAATACGACAACAATAAGAAAAAAGAAGAAGTAAAAACAGAGCTAACCATAAAATGAATTAAACATAACAAAGGAAAAACTGTGTAGCAGCCAAATGAGCCAAGCTTTCGAATTGGCTACTACCAAAAGGCGGTTACAAGTGGGTGGAGGTTATACAGTACTTATAAAAGCTAGTTATGGAGTTCTGGCTAAATTAATCATATTGAAAAGGAAGGGGATGTGTGAGTAATAATAACAGTTAAACTCATGCTTTGGGTTAAATTCTGTACAGTTAAACTCTTAAATTCTGTACGGTTAAACTCTCCACGCGTTAAGCTCTCCACCCGCCATCTTTCGCGTTCAAGGCCTCATTCAATGTGTAACAATTTTTTAATTCTACAGTAAGTTAACTATAGTCTGTATGAAAATCGCGAGTAAAAATGAGATTTAGAAGCAGGGTATGCAACAAACAACGCTCTAACGACAAAATAAGGGAGTCGTATCGTCCAACCCTAGCTTGCGTAAAAGCCCTAATCAGTGCACTGAGAAGCTCGCTGGCTACTAGCTTTTATGGTTGTACCAAACTGCCGTATTTATTCGATTAAGCGCCCTGGGCGCTTATGAAATTTTTGGACCTTGAGAGTGGGCGCTTACTCGAGGTGGGCGCTTATTCGAGGCTGGGCGCTTATTATAATTTCACGATTTTCAGCATTAGTAATTTTATTCTTCAACAAAACGTGAAGATGTTTCCGATGTTCCAAATCAGAATTTTAACTGTTCATTGAAACTTTTTGCTTTTGGTGGAAGTTTATTCGAGGCTGGGCTTTTCTTACCTATAGGGTGAGCGGTTATTCGAGGTTGGGCGTGCTTAATCAAATCACTTGAGAATGAAGTTAAGGGATCGAAATCTTTGTCCATTGCAGTAGGCTGCAATTATCTTTGAGCTTCCCAAAACGATCCCTGATTTAGGGAATATGGGCAATGCTCTCCTACTAGACGACATGTGGGGTGCAACAGTGTGTTTGGTTGCTGATTGAGATTCAGCTTGCTATTCGTTTTCTAATCAAATCTCAAATAAACTACTTTTTGTAACAGTTTAATGCTGCGCACTGCGCCGGCGCGGTATTACTAATATGCGAAACCAAAAAGAAGAACTTTGGCAGAATTTTAATGGTAAGCACCACTCAATGGCAAACCAGCGGAATGCTTAATACATCTTTGCATTCCATTTCTTTATTTGCTCAATCTGGCACAATATTATATCAATAGCACTTAGTTTGACGGAACCAAGTTACTAAAGTTACGTGTGATCTACACCGCAGTTTTATAAACTACCAAAAACACGAGTTTACTTGCTGGAAGTGTCGGGCGTACCTTTTTTTCTCTGAAAATTTTGTTAATTACAGTAACCAAGATAGTTGTGACTGATTCTTAGACCATTGGTTCAAGGTAGGATTCGATTCCTTCTTACTCTACCAATAAGCAAACTTGAAACTGCCGATCTATCCGGGTAAACTCCCAAACCAAACGCACAGTATTAACCATGCACGGTTTATGATCTCTTGGTATAAAAGAAGAGTTGGGTTGGACCCAGTTTATGCCGGGGAGGAAACTGACTTGCAATTTTTTCCAGCTTAGCTTTGCCTATAAAACCTAATCAGTGTTTAAATTCAGAAGTTATATGAGAATACAGAGGCAACAACGCAACCCACCGGGTCCCGATTGTTCTATGGGTAGCGCTATCCACCGGATAAATCACTGACCAGTGGATAACCAATTGCGCTATCCAGTGGATAGATATTTATCCGATGGATAGCGTTATCTCATATCCACCTTTTGAACTACTGATGGGACCAGGCCAAGACTTCAAAAATGTTTCATTTCCTAATTACATCTGGCAAAAACAAATGGATCAAGGACGCTATTCATGTAGCGCACACTGTTGTAACAACTACTGATATAGGAAGTGATGTAGAAAGACCTCTGAATGACTCGGTTTGAGCTTTTTTGAAAAAGGCGAAGCGCCTCCTAACACGCATACTGCAGACAGGAATGTTAAATCGTACGCATAGCCAATGCTTCTGGGCTACTTTTTTCGAATGAAAATCGACTAGTACCGCTGTGTAACCCGAGGAGTCTTAAAAATGTTTGTCTCATTTCACGATCACGGCGCGCATACACGAGTGGGTTGACGGCGCTGTTCATGTAATGCACACTCTTCACTATGACGATGATTCTGTAGAGGGAGTCTGGGGAAGAAGAAAGGCAATGGACGCAAAAAGCAGCTGTGACTGACACAGCGAAGAATGGCAGCCATGCAGCGATGAATAAGACTGTTATAAGCGCAACGGTGATGGCGACTTTTTTCTCCCCTTGATAATATCGCTTCAAACTTCCATCGCTTTGCTTTGTCGTAGTATGAGATGGGTTACGTTGTTGGAGAGATCGCGCAACTGAAAACACACCAATGTACATGCGCGCGATGATTGTGGTGGGTACGACTAAGCCGCAGATAAACAAAACCAGAGAGTAGCATTGACTACTCCAGCTGTTTTCCAGAAGAGTAAAGTTAGATAACAGTGCGAGAAAGCAGGCGGCAGACCAGGCTGTCGTTATTAATACCCGCTGAAAGAGAGACGGCAAGCGTTTGTAATAAAACGGCCGCGAAACTGCGATGTAACGTTCCATGCTTATTGCCGTCAGGTGAAAAATAGATGCGAGAGCAGCAAAGACGTCAAAACTTTTGAAAACGGCGTTGAAAGCGATAGAAACGTTCCACGGCTCCGATGTGATCCCATAAATGCACATAGGTAGAGATATGCTGCCAACCAGAAAATCCGAGACGGCTAAACTAACCAGAAATGCGTTTGTCCGAGTTTTCAGCCTTCTGTTAATCTTGTAGGAGGCAATGACTAGAGAATTGCCAAATAATATGGCAACGATAAGAATGATTGAAGGAGCGGCAATCACATGGAAAGAAGTCATCCCGGCCTGCTTTACTTGACTTGTGTTCTTGCTAACGGTGTCGGTTGAGGCCGAAGTCATTTGCATTGCCTTGATGTGCAGATAACACTGATTCAACACCTCTAACAAAGCACAACAGTTAAAGTTAAAATGACAGCTAACAACGTAACTGGAGACAGCTCCGTTAACAGTTCTGATGTCGAATCAGAGAAGATAGGGAACTGTACCGAAACTCGGCTGGAAGAAAAAAAAACCGACCGGCTAATGGAGATGTTTTCAATAGCTTATAAAACAAAGAGGCTGACAGTAAAACACATTCACCTGCTTCAGTAGTGTAGCGTAAATACATTTTCTGCCATTTATATTTGTTTTACATTCGATTTCTGGTTTGACGACACAACCGCAGGATATGAATCTTTTTAACTGATGTCGTAAAGAATACACGATTGCCATTCGATTATGACCCAACTTTAGCATCTAGACACATTTTCATTTGAAAGTCGGAAATTGGAAGTAGATCTCTTTATTTTCTGTTTAATGAATACATTGTGGCATCAAGATGGCTTTTAATTCTGGGTCGGACTTTTGTTGTGTGTATTGTTTCACGTTAAAGAGGTGAATATATTATATTTTTAATTTCGGTTGGATTAAACGTTACACCTCTTTAAGACAGTTATGCTATTATAAAAAAAATATTGATTCAGAAAGGGCTGTAAAAACCAATATATTGATTCTATTGATCAATTTATTTAGTCCGCAAAATAAGAACATTTCAGAATCGGTGTAGAAAGGAATCGACAAGCTATTGTACATGTAGGAGATGATAACTGCATTTTGTAACTCAAACTATTATTATTAAGCCTTTTTTCAGTTTTTTAGTCTATTAATTTACAGAGCACATTATGTCATGGTAATTGAAATGTCACCAAGAGATCGGAAACGACGGATATCAACTACCCTGCACAGGAATGACGTAATCGTTTCGTCAAAGAAAAGATGGCTGCCATTTACTGTGTGTTTATTGCAAAGAGGGAGTTTTCGGCACAAAAAGCTAAAAAAACTTCCCTTTGACAGAACTGAATTAAGCCATGATTGACAAACTCTACCGTTTTATCAGACACTTGTTTACTTAGTGTTGTAGGCAAAAACAACATGCTTAAAAAAATTATAAACTGCATAAAACATGCTCTGCTGAGTGGAGCCTGCATGTAGAGTAGATGTCTCAGCTGGGTTGAAACATTGTTAATTTGACCGGAGCGGTTAATAATTCATACTGTTTCATGTGCAAATAGGCCTTGCTTACGAAAAACGGAATCGTCACCACTCCTTTTAAAGTTTCAGTAATTTCACGGCTTTTAGCTAAACACCGGACCATTTCTACACTTTTGTTAGTCGGATCTTAAATATTGAACTTTTTTAAAAACTGTCAAAAACCTTTTATACAGCCAACAGTTTTAAAATACAATTTTGGTCAATTCTCAGCTGGGCTGTTCCAGTTTATTTCGGTAAGTAGGCACTAGCGAAAGAAAAACGAGCGAAAGAAAGAGACGGACGAGGGCTCTTTTTTCCGCTTTCCAACTTGCTAAAATTCTCTCCCCTTATCCCAACTAACTGAGAGCCTAAAAAGGCTAATTTTGAGCTATCGTTAAATCCCATCCAGAATTCATTGTAGAGTAAATAACATTCAGACCGATGGGAAACTCGGTCCACAGGCAACAATAAAGATGGTTTGGCAGTTGCGGTGTACCTCAAGGTTCTGTCCTTGGACGGATAATGTATGTACTCTACAAGTTTGGCAGCCAGCAGAATAGAGCGCTTTTCAATTGAGTGTCGAAAACCAAAACCAAAGTAATCACAACGGCCAATCAGAGTAAAGGAAATTATCAGAGGGAGCCAAGGACAACTCGAAGTAAACGCGTGTAACCGGCCTGTAGCGCGGGAAAACGCGAGTGACCAAGGAGCGATTGGTTTTAGTTTACATCTGATTGGCTGAGAGGGTGGCGCGAGTTTTCTAAACCAATCAAACAGCACAGTAAAGCAAAACCAATTCAATCGTGGATTACTTTCAACACTCAATTGAAAATTGCTCTAGTTCAAGAAAACACGTAGTTCCTTAGACTAATGGGAAGCACAACTTGGCCGCGAAAGTAATCTTCTATAAACAGGTCAATAGTTTTCATAACATGAAACTTGAAATGAACAATGTCGTGTTCCTTATAATAAGCCACTTCAGGGCCCCCGGTACCTTCTGGGTAGGAACTCGTGAAGGGGTACACATCAAGGACCTCTAACCCAGTACGGCACATTAGGGACGTCGCGTAGGAGTTGTAGAGATTCACCCGCTGAAAGAGAACAACCTGTTAGTGATTTCAATGAATCTTCGTCGATCGTCAAGTGTTTGTTCGCGTGTATGATTGGCACGTGTCAGAAAGAGTTAATATGCTTCAAATTTATACAATACCATTAAAATAAATATAATTTATATACAATGAAAAATACTAGACGTCGACTTAGATGCCTTTTCGTTTGTTAGTAATATGGTGTGGGGAACCGGGAGGGTAAGAATAAACCAGTTTGTTTGGTTTAGTTTATAGATATTTGTAAAGGAAGAAAATTACAAATAGACAGCAGCACAACACGCTGACATGAGATGAAAACAGGACAGGAGCCCCAACTGACCTTCAACTCCCACAATGTTTAAAACTATGAGACGAAAATACTAAAATCGGACAAAAAAACGTATATAAAGAAAAAAAAGGGTGTGCGCAGAAAGAGTGTGCTTCAGGTGTAACTATGGCGACCGAAAGAAACTTAGCCGGGTCTTATGGTAAGTATGTAGAAAGCTTTTAAACTGTTGAGCACAAGTAGCATGCTTAATAGAATGAGGGGGATTATTCCAAACCGTAACGGTCAAGGGTAAATACGACAGCTGGCGGTCAGGGCGTGACTTGCACTCCGGCCCCCGGATTACAAATCCAGCCGTTATGCTGCCTTCTTTTGCGCATCGGTTGTGTCAGAATCACATTAATATTTTTCCAGATACATTTAAAATCACTCTACTCCACTCACTCACTCTGATCACAATAATAATTTCCGCAGAAAAAAATTACTTAATGTGGTAGTCGTTATAGATGTTGTACTTGCTTTCAAGGTATTTTTACTCACCGGCAATGTTAAAAATCTTCGGCGATCGCTCTTCAGCTGACCGCCAGTGTCCTTTTCCTTGCTTAAAGAAGTGCTGGTTTTCCATATTACTCGTGATTTGTGTCTCAGTTCACCAGTCGTGCTGTCCCTTTCGTTCAGTAAATCAACAACTTTGTCCAAGAGGTTTTGGTAATTCTTTAGACTAATGCTCTCCATGTAATGTAATCCTAGATTTAAAATCAAAACGCTATTCTCGTTCATCTCCGGTCTCTCCAGTACTTTTCTTAGATCGTCAAGGATTAATTTGTCATCGTAGTCTTTGTTGTCCCAGGGTGGAACCTGACTGGTGTAAGGATAAACCCACATTTTACTTATGTTGCAAGATTTGAAGATCTTTGTGCATAGCGGTCCACCCTCTATTGACAGGTGCAGTCTCTCAGCCTGTGAATCCCCGTATATCCACAAGGTGTCCAGCTTGCGAGGGTAACTGATTTCTTGGACGATGGACGATTTGATGGTTCTTTTAAAAAAATAAAACAACAGTCCATATAAACATTAATGAAGGCTAAGCTTGAAATAAAGAAGGTAGCTGGTATTTGAAAATTTGGTCAGGTGACCCTTTTCTTTATTGCAAGGTCTAAAAGAACGATGGGATGTATTCATTCTTATAGATATTTGGGTGCGGAGCCTTATTTCAAAATCAGCAGATCTACGAATTAATTAGTAAAAGTGAGACAATGGTTAAATTAGCTTTAAAAACTTTTATATACAAGACCGACAGTTAAAAAGAAATTTACCAGTAAGATAAGGTTTCCAGTTTTTTCCAAGCCAACGACCAAAGCCGTCCCACATGAATTTGCATTTAATACCACAGGTCAAGTCAAATTTGGAAGCGACACATGAACTGTCAGGCAATCGATTTATTAGAAACGCTCCTGGTGAGGAAAGAGGAAGCCACAGGTTTACCAGCCTTGTAGTGTTTGTGCAAGAAACAGTGCTTTATGTGTTTGAAATACTATAAAATATGATTCTGAGTAAACTAAGTGTGTGTCTACCGTTATCGTGATCGTTAAATCAACAAATAAAGACGTGACAAAGTTAAACACGTTACTGATTCATATGTGTGACGATGATGATAATAAATATGATGATTATGATGATGATGATGGTGATGGTGGTAGGAGTGGTGGTGATAACAGGGAGCTAAGCAAAGACATCGGCGACGTCAACGTGCGCGGCAAAAAAGTAAAGGTTTAGATTGGCAAAACAACAACTCTGCACGTGCATCACGCTTTTTTGTGCATTTCTTTGCCGTCACTTTTTGAGTGACGTTTTCGTAGCCATCACCGTCGTTGTTGCTTAAGCTCCCTAATGTTGATGACGATGGTGGTGGTGGTGGTGAAGCTGCTACTGCTGATGATCATGCTGGTGGTGGTGGTGGTAGTGGTGGTGGTGGTGGTCGGGTGATGATGATGATGATCATCTTGGCGATAGTGATGAAAGCTGACGATCAAGATGGTGATGCTTAACATCCACTAAAACGTACCACAGTTCCATTTTCATCTGTCAAATTGGGCAATAAGAAGTCTCACAATTTGAAACTTCAATTCAATATAACCAACTGAAAACCACCCCAAAAAATTGATATTCGTTTCTACCAGTTCTCTGTCTTACCTCCATTCGTAGGCATCGGTATATTGATTATAATCAATTTTCCTTTCTGGTAGGGTTGAAGAAGGTAATCATTTTTTGCCCGATTTTGACCAAGAGTCCCATCTTTTTGCATTTTTCCTTGAGAATTCCCTGTTAAAAACGACATGATCTCCATGATTCAAAAATACGTGCCGGCGGGGATGTACAAAAGTTGTAGCAGACGGGACAAAACATACGACTCAGTGATGCTAAGGTGAGGCAAGTGCTGAACAGATGAATTGGCTGGATATTCAAGTAAACTAAGATGCGTTGAATGATTTTAAGGCCAGAAGCCACACAAAAAAATACCTACAGCATGGGTAAATTAGATCACGTTTTCGGAACGTTATTTCTACCACATTAAGGGCAAAATGGAATTCAGGTTTTTGCAAAACAATTCGACTCTTACGCAGTTAACTGGGCAAATGCCATGTAACTCAACGCTTTAATTCACTTCATGGACTGATTCGCTCACCCCATTTAGTTACTTTGTTACGATATATGATGTTTGTCAACATTAGTGTAGCTATGCATACTATAAATAATCTTTCTCTATAACAAATTTTTTTTAGGTTTTTTCTTATCCTCAATCTCCCGTATCGATTACTCAACTGCTCACCTACAATGAACCAATTTTTCGGTGGATCCCGGTATCCATCACACAAGCTATAATCCAGGGTGATATCCAATTTATAGACACCTGGGTCCATAATCAAAACCAGAAACTCGTATGTACCATTGCCGTGATCAAACACGGTGGGTGACACGGTGGCGGGTCCGCGTAATAGAACACGCCACGAGTCGCCGCCAATAAGCTTCAGTTCGCCATTTTGAGTTTTAGTCTGAATACTAAAACGGCTAAATTGACCGGCGGGTCTGATATCAAATAATGAAATAAAGCTCTGGCTAGCGTCTGTTTGTAGCAAACGATTCGGTGATTCTCCATTCCATGAAATGTTATAATTGCAGGGTTTTAACAACGAATTCAAGTCAATTCTAGCACGTTGCATGCGACACCAATTTTGCTGGAAGGCAACAATATCCTGAGAAATTGTCATCTGATGCCCATGTTTTTGCGAGTTTGCGTCGTTGTTGACATATTGATAATAAACTAAATGAACTGCCACTGTTGAAAACCATAGCTTTAAAAACAACTTCCACTTTTGGAGCCAGATTTGAATCATTTGCGGCAGTTATCTCTCATTAGGTTCGCGAATATGGGTCAATCGATAAGAGTCCATCACCACAGCAACTCCACCCATTTACTCGGCATGTTATTACGTGACGAGGGTCCTATATTTTTTTCTAATTTTCGAGTTCTTTGTTGTCATCAAACCTCTTTTTAAACATTTTTTTTTCGCTCACCATTGTAATTTTTCACAATTATTCCTCGAGCCCGAATGGGCTCTGAGTCAATAGACCAAGAGGGCGAGAGGTATAATTGTTTTAGTAAAACAAAATATCGAGACAAAACAATTTTGGGTAGCAAAACGCGATTTAGCCGCCATTGTTTTGGTTTTCAAAGCCGGCGCTTTTTGCTACTAGTGTGCTTTATAATAGACCACTAGTTGGATTTCACTAAAAATTGCTAGTCATGAGAAGCATAGACTGAGCTCAAGATTGTTACATAGGTCAAAGAAAAGAGACGGTAGTGGCAAGAAGGTTTTTGTAACGACAACTTACTCAGGTTATTGCTGTATTATAATCATTTCTTTATACCACAACTGACAAGTGAATGAATGGTTCTGGTGCGTTTTCACCCCTGTTATCAGTGACATATTAGGAGGTTTTCACAAGTATCCCTTAAACAATTTAAGCCGAGTTCTCTCAGTTATAAGCATGTTATTCCACTGGATCTCAGATCGCAGTTTGAAAAAAACACTTCATTTCTCTGCTGATGGTTAAAAAAGGACAAGTCACAGTTATTAGGGAGTACTAATCACAATAATTTTTATACTGGTGATTTTTGGAGGCGTAGCGTTAAATCTTGAAAAAGTTGGCCAAACGTTTTCAATTTTCAATCCATGTCCATCCTTGCCATCCGTTGCAACAGATGACAGGAAACAAATTCAATGCCTAAATATAGCCTTAAATAACAAAACTGAACCGTTATTTTTGAAATTCAATTTCAATTAAAGCTAAGGCAAGTTTTAGTTTTTTAAAAGACAGCAAATAGCGTGACATAGCCCCTTTAACTGGTGTGATTTGGCAAGTGTTACCCATGTGATGGTGACTCACAATGGGAAATTGAACTGAAAGGATGATTGTTGGCTTCACACTAGAGCTTCAAGTATAATGTAAGTGTACTTGGAACCTACTTTGAGTGTGAAGAGGTAAAATGTACCTAATTCAACTTTACTTGGTGACCATGGAAACGTTCGTATTTTAAAGAGGTCGCAGTTTGCCACCAAGTATGGTCTACACCACAGATGAAAACAATTACCGTCGGCCACAGAATTGTTGTCAAATGGAGTATGGTTCTTCAAAAAAAATAATATGGACCCCTCTTCCCACTCTACAAACATCATTGTCTTTGTTGTGTTTCCTCCAGATGACCCAGCATTGTTTGAGGGGAGAGGGAAGGCTTGCCTTTCTTTAATGAAGCATGGAGAGCGCCGTCAAAACGCGAACAATATCATTGAGGACAAAGTGTTTAAGCTTACATGAACACAAAATCTCTCAGCCTCGACAGAACCTCACCAGCGTTTTGCAACATTAACTGAAACTTACTTTCATTGAACAAGGTGTGCTTTTATTTACACTTTACCAATGAAAATAGACAAATTAAGAAAAGTGGTAATTTTCAAGGTTTATAGGAGAAGGGACTTTTTCTGTAAAATAATCTTCTAAAAATAGGTGAACCGGTTTCATAACATAGTATTTAAAATGTACTGTGTCGTGCTCCTTATAATGAGCAACGTCAGGACCCCCGGTACCTCCTGGGAAGGATCTCGTAAGTGGATACACATCAAGGACCTCTAGACCAGCCTGGCACATAAGGGACGTTGCGAAAGTATTATATAGACGCACTCGCTGAAAAGAAACAAATATGACTGCATCAGACATGAGAGGTTGTACCTCTCGGGTATTAAAAGTTTATGGCTTGTTTTCTGGTCATTCAATCCGATTAGAAGTAGCAAAGAGGCTAGCAGAAAAAACAAAGGACCTTCTTTTAACAGCGTTTTACGGAGTCAAACTAAAGAGACAATGTTTTATGAACCAATATAGTATAATCCCAGGGCCGTAGTTGGGTTTTTTTGTAACGGGGGCGGGGGGCATTATCGCCAGTGCCGAAGGTACGAGCCTTGTAGGGGGGTCTGGGAGTATCCTCTCCCAGGAAAGTTTCAAATTTGGAGGCTCCGAAACGCTTTTTGAGCACTTGTCATGAGATATGTCTCCGAAAAATCGACCTCGAATATGAAAATGGAAAACAATTGCAAGTCACTACAATCAAAATAACTGAGTCTAAAGAAAGCAAATCCATCCACAGACTTGATTTGTCTGGCTCAACAGGTCCAGGGGGGGCAGCTGCCGCTAGCTACGGCTCTGAGAATCCCCACTTCTGGACACTACCTCGGTCGAAATGATCCTACCAATAATTCGAACCCAAATTGATTTCCCTTCACCAGTAAAGTTTGGGAACCTACGGATAAGTCAAACTAGTTTCCATTTTCCCAAGAGGTTTCACTGTATTAAGCCAGCCAATGAGAGGTCTTCACAGCAGTAAGGATGAAATATCGTACGAAGCTAACAGTAAACCCAAATCCGCCAATGTAGTATACCCAATTCCATAACTCTTTGTCAAGCGTCACCACCTGCCCCAGTATATACCCCAGGGACTGCGAGGTTACTTACCGGTAAATTAAGAAATCTTTGCCAGTCAGCCTTCAGCCGGCTTCCTATGTCTTTCTCTTTGTTCATCGATGTGGTAGTCTTCCAAATCACGCGAGTCTTGTACTTCATCTCTCCAGTCTCTGCGTTTCTCTCGTTCAGAAGATTTAAAACTCCAGTTAGAAGGATCTTATAATTGGTGAAGCTTGTACTCTCGATGTAGTGAAGTCCTAAATTTAAGATCATGGCGCTCTTTTTACTATTCATTTCTGGCCGTTCCAGGACTCCTCGTATATGATCAAGGATTTGTTGGGGTTCAAAGTCTTTGTTATCCCAGGCCACTGGCTGAACACTTGGCCATGGGTAGACCCACATTTTGCTCAAATTACAAGACTTGAAGACCTTTGTGCATAGCAGTGAATCTTTTATCGACACATGCATTCTTTCAGCGTTCGAGTCGCCAAAAATCCACAAGGCTTCTAGCTTGGAAACATTCATAAGTGTACCTCTGGTCACTGAAGTTGGCAGCTCTGCAAAGAAGTTGTAGGTCCATCTTATTGAAGTGAATCAAATACTAACCTACCGAAGGTAATAATAATAATAATAATAATAATAATAATAATGATGATGATGATGATGATGATGATGATAATGCCTGAAGACATGACATTATTGATGTTGAGAAAGAGAGTAACAAGGCAATTATTGTGGATATTGCTTCACCAAGGGATCACAGAGTTTATGAAAAGCAGAGTGAAAAGGTTGAGAAATACCAAGATCTGAAGAAGGAGATTAGAAAATTATGGAGTATTAGACGTGTGAAGGTGGTACTGGTAGTGGTTGGTGCACTCGGTGCAGTAAGCAAAAGATTGGATACATGGCTTGACGAGCTGGGGATTACCATTAACACGGGTTTGCAGCAGAAAACAGCTTTGTTGGGAACTGAGAAAAGATTTTAAGGGAGGTACTGAAAAGTTGAAGGGAGGAGAACTAACCAAAGGGACCTTTGGCCATTGGCCATGGCTCGCTCTCTTGGTGTAACGTCGATACAACATCCACCAGTGCTAAAGCATACACCGTATTCACAAATGGCGGACACGCGGGAAAAAACTGGTGCCTAGTCATGAAAGCGAGGCGTTGGAGGATAAACAAAAATTGCAAACGAAGACTTTCAGTGAACTTGCAGAGTGTTTAGCACGGATTCCACCTAAAATAACCTTGTACGGACTTCTTTTTAAATACAATTACGTGGGATGTCTTTTGCTTTTAATGTTTAGCACCGATTTGCTGTTTGCAATCAAAAGGGACGCGTATATCTCCAAGGAAACAGGATGATTTTGTAAGTTTCCGAAACATCAGAAGCTCGACAAGTGGGCGATGGCTGGAGAAAAGCGGCAAACATGTTGGCCCAAACTTCACATTGAAATCGAGTACGAAAGCCAGCTCACTACAGTTTGGTAAAACAGAAATATAAACAAACCTGGGTGGCAAGAAAAAAAGAAATAAGCGACGGATACATGGCCTACTTGTTAACGCAAGAGACGTCTGCCATTGAACAAAACAGTTCAAGTCGCGATGGAAAAAAAAGAAGACAGGAAAGAAGCAGAGACTAAGGTTTCGATGAAGTTATGTTTGCAAATTGGTTTTTGTTTGCAAGGACGTTATTCTCTGGTCTTTATCGATGAAGAACATCAATTAAAACTATTTTTTTAAATATAAATGCAGGAGCGATCGAGTGGAGTACGCACAAAATTTCAACTTGTTACTCGGCAGACTCGGTAAGCAGGCCACATCATATATCATTTCAGCGAGTAATTTTCGTATTTCTTATCTTTGGCTTTTAAGAGTTTTAACTTTATGTTCCATAATATTTTGAAAGTGAAGAATACATAAATAAATAAAATTAAATGATGGTCTTCTTAAAGGGATCCAGACTCGAATTTAATGATTCGTTGCCGTGTTCAGTCCTGACAAAAACATTGCCTTAAAAAGTTTAACCTAGTAAAATGTGAGCTTTATACCACTTTTTTACCAAGAGCTCTCCGAGATAATGCCCTACAGGAGACCAGGCAAATAGCAAGCTCTAAGATTCACACACTACAGTTCTGTTTTGATAAAATTATTTTATTTCGCAATGACAAAGAAATCAAAAGATTTTTGCTAAGCTCTGCCAACGTACCTCTAACAATTCACTCCAAAGCGACGGACTAGATCAATATCATCCAAAGAAAGTTGTAAATACAGACACACATATATACATAGATATGTATAAAATGAGATTGACATGAATGAATCTTTCACCCGCTCTCGACCAGTTTTGTGTAAATCATGGCGAAGTCTCTTCCGTTGACAAGTAGGCCATATATCCGTCGCTTATTTCTTTTTTTCTTGCCACCAATATCTGCTTTTATTTCTGTTTTACAGCATTGCAGTGAGCTGGCTTTCGTATTCGCTTTCAGTGTGAAGTTTGGGCCAACATGTTTGCCGCTTTTCTCCAGCCATCGCCCACTTGTCGAGCCTCTGAAGCTTCGGAAACTTACAAAATCATCCTGTTTCCTTGAAGATATACGCGTCCCTTTTGATTGCAAACAGCAAAGCTGTACTAAACATTAAAAGAAGAAGACGTCCCACGTAATTGTATTTAAAAAGACGTCCATACAAAGTTATTTTAGGTGGAATCCGTGCTAAACACTCTGCAAGTTCACTGAAAGTCTTCATTTGCAATTTTTGTTTATCCTCCAACGCCTCGCTTTCATGACTAGGCACCAGTTTTTTCCCGCGTGTCCGCCATTTGTGAATACGGGGTATTTCGATAATAATAATAACACATGAATACATACTTATTACGATTATTAATCCTCAGCGGTTGTTCAGGGAAAATGAAAAAAAAAAGATAGCACTTTTGAACAAACCATACAACTATAATTAAGCTTACGTCTGAGAAAAGATTTCCAATTACTTCCCAACCAACGACCGAAGCCATCCCACATGAAGTTGCACTTGATATTGCAGGGCAAGTCAAAACTGGATAAAGGATCTAAACTTTCCAATAGCCTGTTCATTAAATACGTTCCTATGGAAATGGATAGAACACGCTGTCAACAGTTTGAAATCAATACTACATGTATATATTGCTTGTTTTCTACTACTACATGAGAAATTTCTCCAATTTGATTGGCTTAGAGCAGTGGTTTTGTTGAGCTGAATTTGAAATACTTACATTTGAAAATTAAACCTTTTGTGGGTAGTAGTATAAACAAATAATAGCATGATTTGTACGTGATATTTGGCATAAATACCACGAGTGAAATTTCAAAATTGTCTCAAATTTCACTCGCTTATAGGCTCGTGAAATTACCTACCGTATAACAATTTTGAAATATCACGCGTGGTATTTATGCCAAATATCACTACAAGTCATGCTATTACCTATACTAATGACTAAAAAAAGGGTATGCTTGAAACACCAGTGACATATACGAGTTATTAGGGAGCTTAAGCAAGGACGACGGCAACGGCAGCAAAAAACGTCACCCAGGAAGTGAATTCGCGCTGTTTCAAACTTCATCGCTCTTATTCCAACTCCTTTAATTTGCCAAATGTTGGCGATTTTTTAGGAGTTGAATTCTAAAGTACTGTATCTAAGTTCACAAAAACGTCGTGAAATTAGGAAGTTTCACGTCGTAATCGTGCAGTGACAGAAAGAAATATACACAAGAGCGTGATGCACGTGCAAAGTTGTTGTTCAGTGCCAATCTCAACCTTCTCAACCTATTGTTCATTTTTTTGCCGTTCTCGTTGACGTCATCGTCGTCGTTGCCGGCTTAAGCACCGGCCTCACTGTTATTTATGATTGAGATGCGAGTGAGTTATGGTGTTCAAGATTCGAGTAAGCTGTAAGTTATTTCTTGGAAAACTACCATAGGTTAAGGAGACGTATGAGTGCGCTATGAAAGTGCTACGAGTAAGGAAAAAACTGAAAGGAGTTAAATAATGTAAGAGTGAGCTAGGAGCAGGTCTCGAGTCAACTGCAAATAAGGCCAGGCAGCTACAAAGTAACCGCGTGCTACAAGTAAGGTACGGGTCAACTACGAATGAGACATGAGACAGCTACGACGAGTTACAATTTAAGAATGCATGAAGAACGAGCACAGTACAGGGAAGCATGAAAGAGAGTCTGTGGAAAGTTAGATAAGACTCCAACGCGAGAATTACGATTTCAGCTATAACTGAGACAAACAAGCAAATTATAAACGAGGGAGGAAAAGCGAGTAGGGTACGAGAACTAGCATTCTTGAAATGCGTTCGGTAGGAGTGATCTTCGATTCTAGCACGCGGGTGAAGTTCGATTAAAGCAGTAAATGAAAGGGAGGTTTGATTCTTTTGCAGATCACACTACACACTGGTCAGGAGTACAAGCCATTGTTAATATTATCTACGGTCAACTCTTTCTAATAAGGACACCTTTAGGACCGTCACTAAAGAGATGTTCGTCTTACCGAGAGTCAACTTATCTTATAGAGGTGTCCGTTAAGAGGTAGCTGACTGAGTGGTAACTTAAAGTCAAATATCAAAAAGGAGTATCACCTTCATTTGTAGGCATCGGTATATTGATCATAATCAGTTTCCCTTTCTGGAATGGTTGAAGGAGGTAGTCATCCCTAGCACGATTCACGCCAAGAAAGCCATTTCTTTGTAATTTACCATGAGAATTCCCTGGCAGTAAGAAAAACAGGTTTTATGTTCAGGTTACCAATCATAAAAGACAGCATCTCTTGTTTGATTTTCTTCGTGCACTGGGATACTCAATATCTACTACTAGTTCAATAATCTCTGGATAACACAATTAGATTGTTAAGGCGCAATTCATGATTTTTAGTTCAGTAAACGGAGATTTGTGCAAGGTGTACTGAAATGGAGATAATCGAAAGTCTCCTCACATTGAGCTTATCATGCACTGAGCATTTCACCCTAAAAATGTGGACTTCCCTATTTTCACCTTGAAATTCTATATGCCATCGATAAGGCTAACTTCCTTACCGTCAAAAGTCCCGCAAAAGAAGACACAGTGGACGCAGGACGCGTGGCCGAGCGGTTAGAGCGCTGGACTTGTAAGTTCAAGTCCCACCCTGACCGCTTGATAGATTTGTTCTCGGTAATCCCGAGTTCACATCCTCTGCCACGCTTGTAAAATAACCCGCCTTCGCCTCCTCCCAGGTGGGATTCTTGACTATGTTATGATTCATTTCAACTGTTTGTTTCATTATCCCTGAGATTTTAATTTTATTTAAGACAACTCTTTAAAAAAGCACGATTTTACCAGGCCATATTCAAAATGTGCACAACGTATACGCTGACCTAAAAGATTGGATCGACACTACTTTGCAACCGTGTGTATGTTTCAAAATTTTTCAGCATTTAATCAGTCAACATATTGTGTTAACTAAAACACTTCGTTACAATCATTACTTACCTACGATGAACCAATCGTCAGGAGGATCTCGGTATCCATCACACAAGCTGTAATCCAGGGTGATATCCAACTTATAGACCCCCGGATCCATAACAAGAAACAAAAACTCGTATGTACCATTACCGTGATCAAAAACGGCGGGCGACACTGTGGCAGATCCGCGTAATAGGACACGCCACGAATCGCCCCCAGCAAGCTTAAGTTTGCCATTTCGAGTTTTGGTTTGAATACTGAAACGACTAAATTGACCGGCGGGTCGAACGTCAAAAAATGAAATAAAACTTTGGCTAGCATCCGTTTGAAGAAGGCGATTCGGCGAGTCTTCATTCCACGAAATGTTATAATTACAAGGCTTTAACAAAGAGTGTAAACCTATCCTCGCTTGACGAATTCGGCACCAATCCTGCTTGAACTCCTCGATATTTTGCAACATTTTCACGGTGTATTTACTTTTTGCCAAGAACGCTTCTCTGCTGACATGCTCAAAATAAAGGGCATAGATAGCAACCAAGCAAAGCCATAACTTTAGAGTTTTCAACTTTTTTGAGAAGACTACTTCCATTTGGATTCTCTTGGATGGTAAATAACCTCAAATAAAAATCACTCTTGACATAGTTGCCAGGAGCAACGCCTCTGATCCCAACAGAATTTTTACTCAAAGAGGATTGTTTGAAAACGATAAACGTTGACCTAGTGTATAGCTTTTAGATTAAGAGAACTTCTTCACTAACTATATTTTTATGATAAAATAATACTTACTTGATAACAATGACTTCAAATGCGCAATTTTTAAAGTCGGTGAATAACTTTTTCAATCTAGATTATGCTACAAAAGACGCTATAATGTCCTCTCTAGGACAAAAAAGAGTTATTTCTCAGCAACAATTTTATCAAGCAAAAAAGTTATATTGCGTAAGGTCAAGTCTTTTCAAGCACTGCATTTACTCGCTAGAAATTGAATTTTACCTAGGTTGACTTGCAACAACTTACAAGTTTACAAATTTTGAAATCTAAGCTACAAACTAAATACGCGTACACAACCTGCAAATAACAAAGATTCGAGGCGGGTTGTGTAAATACAGTTAACTAGATTCTTTCTTGGACAAAGAATCATGAGTCAAAAACACGTGGCTATCTTGGTCCGCTCATCGATATCGCTGACGCGAAATTGATCGCTAAATTGATTTTGTCTCTCTTCAAGAACATCAAATGAACGTTTTTAAAGTTCTGTAGGGAAGCAGGACTATTTCTATTGTCTTTTCTGTAGTTACAATATCACTGAACGAACTATAGAGGTCGAACATAAGGATGAAAACTGACATATTTTGGTGTTGGAACAAAAACACTTGAGCATTTACAGTAGTACGTCTTACATACGAACCAGTGCAGCCAGAGAATTTTGGGTTTAAGCGACTTGAAGCATTTCACGTTAAGAGCCATACAAATGAAACTACTTACAGGTGCTCTCTATCAAAACACCTGTTTCCCAATGAGGATGAGTATTAAATTACTACTTTCGTAATTTAGACCGGAATTGGGCGATAATTTTCCAGCATCGTATCAATCAATGACTTGATAAGGCTTACAAAGTTCAAAATAGGAAGCTTTTAGGTTTGAAGACAAATAACATTTATCGCGACATGAATTCGACGGCAAAATGTGATCGCCGAAGCCCGCCTTGTTCACTTCCACGGATCCTAATAAGTTTCATAAAGCTGCATCGCATTTCTTTATCTCTAAACGCATATACCAATGGATTTACACCACTATTTGTATAATGCATCCATTTTGCAAAAGTCACCAGCGTGTTTTGAGCATCACCTTCTGGAAAACAATGCATACAAAATTGCCCAAGCATGGACATGACAAAAAAAGGTAACCAGGCCAGCAGAAATAGAATGGTAACAACGCTCACTGTCAAGGCGACCTTGCGCTCCTCGCGTACCCGATTTCGTATCGATTCCTCCGTTCGGGTATTGGGGGTTCTGTCGATAAGGGCTCGCGCTGTTCTGAAGATCCTTACGTACACGGTCAGCATTAAAACTGCCTGTAATAGGAACCCGAATGTAAACACGATGACAGTGCTGACGGCAGTGAAAGCAAACAACTTAGAAAATACGGACAATATCGTCATTGCACCAGCTGTGATCCAGGCTGTGATCACCATGTATTTGTAGAAGCGAAACGACAGCATCCCGTGGTCGAAAGGTCTTGAGATTGCCATGTATCGTTCAAGCGAGATGGCAGTTAAATGGAAAATGGACGCCAAAGCGCTAAACCGGTCAAAGTTTATGAAAAACTCAAAGAAACCGTCCAGATCTTGCTCGTAGTTAACGAACGTAAGATATGTCCATATTGGCACGGAAATACCACCGACGAGTAAGTCCGACACGGCTAGACTCACAATAAAGACATTGGTGCGAGTTTGAAGGCGCGTGTTCTTTCGATATGCAGCGATAACAAGCGAGTTTCCTGTTATGATTAATACCGCAAGCATGGAAGATAGAACAAGGAAAACGTACGCTGATTGTCTGGACTGTACAGGCAATGAAGTTAAGTTCATGTTAAAAGTGTTATCCGCCTTGGAAAAATTATTAACGAATATTATCATGAAGCTACGTTAAACGTAACTCTGCGGCGCTTGTTCAATTCTCTTTGGCAATGCTCTCATTTCCGCAGTCTTTCAAGGGGATTTCAAGTACTTTTAATCAAATCTCGGTCAAATAAAAGAAAATCTCATCTCTTGTCATATCTTTTTCTGAAAGAAAATCATCCGCCCATTTCGGTATGTTATCTGTTAGACTTGAAGAGATGCGGGAAGGAAAATTTTTCCTCGTGCAGTGGTTAGCTTATTGATACTCTGCTCCTCTAGGATTCTATTCGTTTTCATTAAATTTCCACACCTTTTATACAAACGTTCGCCGCTTTCTAGTTCTGTTAACGATGCCCAATACCGCGTCTTTCACTGAAGATTTTCTGCTTTGATCTTTTCGAATTTTCAGTCTTCCAACTGACCTCCTTTATAAGATGTATAGCACGTGAATTGAATGTAAAACAAGAATTTGCCTCAAAAAGAAAATTGTTGAAGAGAAAACAGGAAACAAATCTTGACACATTTGCTAAGTACTCATCACGAGGTTTTTGTTATGATTATTATTGCGTTTTTTTTATTACCAAAATTTATAATCAAACTAAATTGTTATCTCCAGTTGACGTTGCCATCTGCAATCTTTTATGATCTCTTCTTATAAATCTTTTATTCTTTACTTGTCAGGAAAAGCTTTTACTTGCGAAGAGATTCATATTTCTTTCAATAGACTCGAGTCATATTGCTTTTAAATAGACTCGATAATGCCAATCAAATCCGGCTAGTCTTTCAAAACTTTTACTTCATTATATTTAGTTTCGGGTAGTTAATACTTGCGTCTATCATTTGCCTGCCATTAACTGACAATTTTCAATGCTTTTATTACGCGGGATTATCGCAGATCTGATATGAACTCGTAGTGGGTTTTGTCAACCATTCCAACACCAAGTGCTCCCTGTCCAATTCAGCGAACAGATGTATTTCCGCGAAGGTCTTTTTTTGTTTTCATAAATGATTATTTTCGAAAATGGCTAAGCAACAGAATATACGACCCTTAATTTTAGGAAGGATCCCGCACGAGATCGGCCAAAACATCCTAAAAAGGAAACATCTAAACTAATAGTGCCTGGGGGAAAGTGGCCACACAAGAACTGGTTGTTGTGCCGCAGTAATGGAAAAGAGAAGTAATTTCCCCCTCTCCCTCCCCTACTTGACGTTCTTTTCAGCTTTTGTCCACCCCATTGATTCCTGACAGTCTCCAGTCTTTCTGTGCTCGGCGAAATCAAAGGTGGCGACTCCACTTAGCAATTCGAAGGTACATACTGACGGAGTGCCCCTTCAGCAAACTCTGTCTCGCCACTATTTGTTTACCGCGCAAAGTTCCCTGGCAGCAAAGACCTCGGGATAAAAGGCCGCTGCTCATGAGCAGGCAGGGAAGAATCCGAGGTCGCTATGTCCGAACTCAGTTAAATATCTACATTTCATTTGCACAAAGGTGCCTTTAGCGAAATGAAGACAAGTCGCGAGAAGTTGGCCTGCCTAAACGCCTATACCAAAACGGACGTTAAGAAACATCAAAACGAAACTATGTGTTAGTTCAAATATTAAGTATTGTCAGCTTATTTCATCCTAAATATTTTGAAAAAGGAACCGCTGGGGTGAGGGTGCGGCTTCTTACAAGCTTCATGGTCAATTTGTATGTCATGGCTTTAGTTTTGGGTGCACGCCGGAATGAAGATGCTTTTGGCGTGACATGCAACAAAGAACCGGTAGTGCTGTCACGCGGCTCAAATTATTCCTCGGATTATTGTGTTGCACCATCACAATGCAACATTGACACAATTTCATGATGACAATGAAATAATGACGCTTTCGCGATACTTTTTTTAAACGTGATATTAAAGTATCATCAATGTCAAATAGAACTCCTCTGGGAACTGTGTGTACGGTCGCGCTTCATCCTCCGCTATTAAATAAATCGCTACATCGGGTGTCTCCCCATACTGCCGCCGAGGTGAGTTTGCATTTCTAATTTGTCTCAGTGTTAAAGGCCCGCCTAGTGTAACCCAACAAATTCTATACTTCGTCCAATGCTTGCTGCAAACGAAACGTTGTGAAGGACCATTAAGTAAACTACCGGGTAGCCGGTAATAATGTATTTACCTTCGTAAAAAGATTCTGCTTGTTCGCCTTCTTCATATCCGGGGGTGTAAGACAGTTTAGCTCCAGATTTTATCGATAAGTTAGGTAAGGCCCAAGTCAGAAAAGGAAGAATTTATTAACGAGATTTTGACCCACATGGCTCTCAACTATGGATAACTTGGCACTCGTATATGTTCTTACACTTAAAAGCCATATAAATTTCTAGGTTTTAATAAGCCGAGCGGCTAAGGTAAACCGGCAAACCGCACCGTAGCGTGGGGGAACTGCTGTTTAAGAAGTTATACGAGGAGGTTCCGCCCGAAAGTCGAAGGACGTCAACCGGAAGTGTGGCCTTGACGATATAAAATTTGTATTGCTTCGCTTCTTTACTCTTATGGCGGCGATTTGACTGCAAATTTGGGCGAAACCACCGCTCCAGAATGTAGAAAAGTCCACTTCGGGTTGACGTGCGTCATTTGAAAACGCCTTTCTGTATAAGCTCCCTAATCAATTTAAGGAGCCTTTTGTTAAATACTGTGGAACCTCGATATAACGAAGGGCCAAGGGGTAGGCAAAATTTGTTTTCTATAACGAGGTTTCTTTATGTTGAGGTTATTTACTGTTACTGAGGTACAGAAAATCGTCCGTTATACCGCGGTCTTCGTTATATAGAGGTTCGTTATATCAAGGTTCCACTGAAATTACGTAAATGGTATAAAAAATGGTTTGGGGTTGGACATACGGGGGCCTCCCCCTATTAGTAGCCACCCCCCCTTCCCTATCACACTCATTAACATCCGACGAAACTATTGAAGTGCCCTCTAATCTCGTAATTCAATTAAGTCATGTCTCTTTGCGTACAGTATTTCGATTTACGCTTTTTAAAGTCAAGTTTGTCTACTTAAACTTCCTTCTCGTGAAAAGAAATAAGGCCCCTTATAGCAGGTTAAAAAAACATATTTAGATTTTATGAACCATTTTTTTTTTTTTTCAAAGTCTTTGAACGAAACTCGAGACTGAAATCAAGTACAGGACGCAGTGACACCCCTTGAATGACCTTGGGAAAAATATCACCAAACCTGTCTCGTTTTTACTGTTTCAAAGTTTACGCGCGAAATTTGTGAAAGGTTTCATCGATGTTCTCTTTATCGATTTCGCATTAAGTAATGTCTGACTCTGGTTAAATGTCTACTCGTATATTTGCCCCCCCGAAAAAAGCACCAGAACGAGTTTATTCGAGAACTCCGTCGAATTGTAACGCATTTCGAGTTTTC